CCTTCCTGTGACCCAGAACCAGCGGGTCCACCTCCATCTGGAGGTCCGGGCTGCGGCCCCATCCGCAGAGGCCGGGGCAGGGCGGGCGGCTGGTGACTGAGCTGGCCAGTGCCTGCTGGGGGCGCCATGGTAGGGGTGTGCGTGGCGGGCAGAGGCAAGCTGCCTCAGACCCTCTGGGTGGCAGCTGGCGGGGGTGGGGTCCTGAGCTCTCTGCCATTTCCGCTGGCGGCCTGGCTGGTGGTGGAGGTTGCCAAGCACAGTGCCCGGAGCACCCAGGCCCCGGGAGAGGAGGTGCCGGAGGCTGTGCACCACCCCGCCCGGCGGCACTGCACCGGCTCCGTCACCCAGCGCACTGCCTGCTTCTCCTTAGACTTAAGGGACATTTCCTGGGCGTCTGCTGGGCGCTGGGTGCTGCGGGCTGGCCGCCTGGCCAATGGCATGTGACCCAGACACAAGCACGGCCCTGGGAGTCCAGAGCCCGAGTGCCAGCCCAGACTGCTGGCCTGGTATTTTCGTGTGTGTGTGGGGGGGTGATGGGCCCAGATGCCCGCTAAGCGTGACCTTCCGGAAGCCATATGAGATCCGCAGATGCCTCCGGGCCAGAAGGCCGCTCTTCCGGGGATGAAATATCACGCTGGGTGTGGGTGGCGCGGGCGCGGGACCAGCTGCTGGAAGCTGGAGCTGTCCCAGGAAGTGCCGGGAGCCTGGCTGGAGCCGTGGGAGCCCAGGGCGCGTCTCTCCCAGCTCCTCCTCTGGAAGGAGCCCCCTCACCCCCGCTGAGCCCCCCATGGCCAGCCTGCCTCCCCACCTCCAAACGGACAGGAGCAGAGACAGAGGAGCCCCCCTCACCCCCGCTGAGCCCCCCACGGCCAGCCTGCCTCCCCACCTCCAAACAGGGACAGGAGCCCCCCTCACCCCCGCTGAGCCCCCCACGGCCAGCCTGCCTCCCCACCTCCAAACAGGGACAGGAGCAGAGACAGGAGCCCCCCTCACCCCCGCTGAGCCCCCCACGGCCAGCCTGCCCTCCCCACCTCCAAACAGGGACAGGAGCAGAGACAGGAGCCCCCCTCACCCCCGCTGAGCCCCCCACGGCCAGCCTGCCTCCCCACCTCCAAACAGGGACGGAGCAGGCAGGCGGGAGGGAGGGCACAGCACTCGCCCCAGGCCCGTCACCGCGGCCGGGGAGGGCCAGGGTCACGGCCTCTGCCTGCAGGCCGCGCCTGCCTGTGCCTCAGCCCATCGCGGGAGCCTGAGCGGCGTCCCAGTCCTGCCCTCCACCCCAGCGCCGGTGCTGGGGTTTGTTTTCACCGGCCACACAGCCTCGGTCGCGGGGGTGGTCCATCCACCGCGTGTGTGTTTGGTGTAATCGGCACAGCCAGGCACGGGCAGCCACAGGTTAGAGCCGATCTGGAAATATCGGTGAAACCAGCCTGCCGCCTCGGTGTGGAGGCCTCAGTTTCTCCCAACCTCTGTCTCTCTCCCCCTCTTTCCCTCCCTCTCTCTCTGAAAATTTTTAGACTGTTTCTTAGAGCAGTGTTTGGGTTGTAGAAAACTTGAACAGCCCGAGCTGGTGTGGCTCAGTGGATAGAGTCGGTGGAGGACCGAGGGGTCCCGGGTTTGATTCCAGTCAAGGGCAAGTACACAGTTGCAAGCTCAACCCCTGGCCCAGATCAGGGCGTGTGCGGGAGGCAACCAATCGATGAGTCTCTCTCACATCAGTGTTTCTCTCTCTGTCCCCCCTGCCCCTAAGAACCAATGGGAATAAAAGCAGTGTTTCCGGCCGGGACTGGTTTGGCTCAGTGGATAGAGCATCCATCGGCCTGCGGACTGAAATGTCCCGGGTTCGATTCCGGTCCAGGGCATGTACCTTGGTTGCGGGCACATCCCCAGTAGGGGGTGTGCAGGAGGCAGCTGATCGACGATTGTTTCTAACTCTCTATTCCTCTCTCTTCCTCTCTGTAAAAAATCAATTAAAAAAGCAGTGTTTCCGAATCCACTTTGAAAAGAAAAGCTGAACAGGAAGTGGAGCGTCCTGATATGCCCCAGCCGTGTCCGTTGTTAACCCCGCATGGGGATGTGTGTGTGTGTGTGTGTGTGTGTGTGTGTGTCCCCGCAGTCCTGCTACTGCGGTGAGCAAGGGGTTCCGGTGCCGCGTGCTCTCTCGGTTTGGACAGACGTGTGACAGGTGCCCACACCACAGGGTCCCGGAGCCGCTTCCCTGCCCGAGAGCCCCGTGCTCCCCCTGTGCTCCCCCTCCCGCTCCCCTGTGCTCCCCCTCCCGCTCCCCTGTGCTCCCCCTCCCGCGCCCCTGTGCTCCCCCTCCCGCTACCCAGTGCTCTCCCTCCTGCTCCCCTGTGCTCCCCCTCCCGCTCCCCTGTGCTCCCCCTCCCGCTACCCAGTGCTCTCCCTCCCGCTCCCCTGTGCTCCCCCTCCTGCTCCTCTGTGCTCCCCCTCTCCCCCTGTGCTCCCCCTCTCCCCCTGTGCTCCCCCTCCCGCGCCCCCCACCGACAAGCGCTGGGTTTCCCCGTGGCCACGGTGCTGTGTCCTGCCACGTGGCCTGTGGCTGGAAGAGGGTGTGTGGCCAGCTCCCCCGGCTCTCACTTAGCAGCACCCGTCCACGTCCCCGCCACGCCCTCCCGGGCTGATGGCTCCTCTCCAGAGAGTTCCATCTTCCTTTTTTCCGTAAGAGAACGGTTACTGGGTAAGACTGAGGTGGGAAAGCCTCCTGGAAGAAGGGGCTCAGGACACGTGGTGGAGGCCCCGGGAGGGCTGGGGTCTGATGGTCACGCGCTCGGGGTGGGCCGGGGCGGGGAGCGAGGGCTGGGGGTGCCCCGGGAGGGGTGCACTGGGTCCTCCGTCCTCACCGCTCTAGGGGTGGGTTTCTGTGACCCTCACACGGACAGGAGTCGTGGCCAGCGTGGCCCACCCTGTCTGGGAGCCGTGTGGGGAGGGCCGTGCCATGCGGGGTCCCCGGCAATCCTGCCGCGGCACAGACCAAGCAGACGGCAGTTTGGGGTTGTAGAAAAACTGCCATCTGCCTGCACCCCCTGTACCTGCATGGGGACAGGTGTCTGTCACCACCATGCAGTGTCTATGTCCCACCACCAGGGGGCAGCATCCTGCTCTCACCCCCACAGGCCTCAGGTCCTCCCAGGAAATCATGCCTTAAAGCAGCGCCCCCCCCACCCCCCCTCCCCGAAACCCAAATACAGGTCCGGGAGCCAGGAAACGGGTGACTAGGCCGCGGGGTCTTGGAAATGACAGTGGCTGCTGGGTACTGAGCACAGGGCTTGCTGCACCCTGGGCTGGCACGTTTTTGTCCCTGGCCCTGGCATCTCCCGGGCAGGGGGCCTGGGTGGAGGGTGGAGGGACAGACAGATGGAAGTCTGGGAGCTCCGGGTCCCAGCAAGTAGGAGGTGGGGCTAGGGCTGCAGGTCCCAGGCTCTGACACGGATGGGGGAGGAGTGGGGCCGGGGGAGGGGGAAGGGAGGGACGGGGGCGGTGCGGAGGGGGGAGGGGGCGTCTCCAGCAGCAGCAGGGCCTGTGTCCCTCGGGGATGACCGTATTGTCCTCTGTGTGCCTGGGGGTGAGAGGATAACAGTGGAGGATCCTGGTTCCTCCCCCCCCCCCTCTGCCGCGGGTCCCCCCCATGGCCCTGCCCAGCTGCGGGCACCAAGCTCCTGGGGCAGGCCCTGGGCCCGCGCCCTGGGCTGGCCTCCGGAGGGCTCTCGGGCTGTGGGTGAGGAGCCCAGAGTCCGGCCCAGCCCTTCACCGGCGCCTCCCTGCACCTCCTCGGCGGGCGCAGCAGCAGCACCCGGCCCATGTCCCGGCACAGGAACGGGGGCTGGGGGGAGATGGGGGGCCACAGAGGACTGTGCTTAAGACATCTGCATTGGAGGGAGCTGGGCCCGGCGCAGAGGCCTGCCCGCGCCCCTGGGTTCTGAGGCCCTGGGACCGGGGTCCTGCCAGGTCCAGGCTGCAGAGGCGGGCCACCCAGGGGGAGGCATGACCGCCCGTCTGCAGGGTGCTCACAGAGAGGGGGCAGGAGCCCCTCATTGGGTTGATCACGTCTGACTCCCACGGGTCCCCAAGGGGAGGAAAGCCGGTGCCTGATGCCCCGGGACTGTGCTGGGGGGCGGACTGTGCTGGGGGGGGCGGGACTGTGCTGGGGGGCGGGACTGTGCTGGGGGGGGGACTGTGCTGGGGGGGCGGGACTGTGCTGGGGGGGACTGTGCTGGGGGGGCGGGACTGTGCTGGGGGGGACTGTGCTGGGGGGCGGGACTGTGCTGGGGGGGCGGGACTGTGCTTGGGGGCGTTACTGTGCTGGGGGGGACTGTGCTGGGGGGCGAGACTGTGCTGGGGGGGACTGTGCTGGGGGGCGGGACTGTGCTGGGGGGGCGGGGACTGTGCTTGGGGGCATTACTGTGCTGGGGGGGACTGTGCTGGGGGGGCGGGACTGTGCTGGGGGGGACTGTGCTGGGGGCGGGACTGTGCTGGGAGGGGACTGTGCTTGGGGGCGGGACTGTGCTGGGGGGGACTGTGCTGGGGAGGGCGGGACTGTGCTGGGGGGGACTGTGCTGGGGGCGGGACTGTGCTGGGGGGACTGTGCTGGGGGGGGCGGGACTGTGCTGGGGGGGGACTGTGCTGGGGGGGGACTGTGCTGGGGGGCCCCGGGACTGTGCTGGGGGGGCGGGACCGTGCTGGGGGGGACTGTGCTGGGGGGGACTGTGCTGGGGGGGGGCGGGACTGTGCTGGGGGGGGGACTGTGCTGGGGGGGGGACTGTGCTGGGGGGCCCCGGGACTGTGCTGGGGGGCGGGACTGTGCTGGGGGGGGGACTGTGCTGGGGGGGACTGTGCTGGGGGGCCCCGGGACTGTGCTGGGGGGCGGGACTGTGCTGGGGGGGGACTGTGCTGGGGGGGGGGACTGTGTGGGGGCCTGAGTCCCGCCCCCCGCGGCTGCTCGCCTGCCGTCCGCCGCTAACGCCCCCTCTCCCCAGCAGTGTCGGAGCCCCCGGCGGCCCTGGGCGCCCTGGAGAAGCCGGCGGGCGCGGCCATCCTGTGCACCACGTGCGGCTCCGTGTGCCGGGGCGAGGTGCTGCGGGTGCAGAGCAAGTACTTCCACCTCAAGTGCTTCGTCTGCAAAGGTGAGTGTCTCCGTCCGGCTGCCAGCCCGTGGGCCCCGGGCGTCTCTGGCAGCGGGCAGCGGGGCAGGAGGTGCCCCCAGAGCTGCCTCCACAGCGCCCCCCATCCTGCGGCTGCGCCCCCCACGGCGGGCGGGTCCCAGGCCTCCTCACGCAGCTGCGCCCCATCGAGGACAAGGTCCGGGACGAGCATGGCTGTGGGGCCCAGGGCGGGTCTGGGGGCGCGGGGGGGGGGGGCACTGGGCTTAGGGAGCGAGCATCTGGGAGGTTCCAGGCCTTTGTGGGAGACCCTCCCCGCCCCCCCCAGCTTACAGCCCAGGGAAGCTGCACAGAGCACAGTGTGACATCCGTCCGCACAGCTTGTCCGCAGGTGACCCCAGCAGGGCGCGCCAGCCGGGTCCCGCGGGAGAGCAGAGGGAAGTCACTGGGCGAGGGATCTCCGATGACACACACGCCTGTTATTCCAGGAGCCAGGCCAAGGCCGAGGTCAGGGTACACCGGGCAGCACAGGCCTCCAGCCCGGCCAGCTCCTTCCGCTCAGGTCCTCTGCTGGGCTCTGTCCTGCCGTCCCCCTGCCCCGCTCAGAGGCCCGGCCCTGGGGCTGCCGTCCCCCTGCCCAGCTCAGAGGCCCGGCCCTGGGGCTGCCGTCCCCCTGCCCCGCTCAGAGGCCCGGCCCTGGGGCTGCCGTCCCCCTGCCCAGCTCAGAGGCCCCGCCCCTGGGATGATGCTTTTTTGTTAGTTTGTCAGTTCTTGCCTCAGCCTTACAAAGGGTTCAGCGTTCTGCAGAAAGGGGCTGATGTGTAGATGATTAAGAAGGAGTCCAAGGACAAAAGATAATTTTGAAAGGCATGGGGGTGGGGTGTCAGAGGAGCTTCAGCTAAAGGATCTGAAGACTCATCCTGTTTGAGGACCCGTGCTATTTATTAACAGTTTTCCTGAGGCCAGGTGGAGACAGACACGTCAAAGGCAGGGTTTCCAAGGGCAGGGTTCGGAAGCATTGTCAGTGTGGGAAGAGCCTACAGCTGTTCAGGTGTTTGGCCAACAGGAGGCAGTAAAACGCCCTGAGCTGTCCGGCAGCAGACAATCATCCTATTCAGGTTTGGGGGAAGTGCCCTTTAGCTGTTCCAACAGGTAAACTCCATGTGACTCACCCTTGTTGAGCCGCCCAGACCTTACCAACCTTTTGGTGAGACTCTTGTAATTATGGAATCGGTTCCCGGCAGGATGAGGATCAAACACCAAACTAACAAAGCCCCACAGAGACCCGGTACTGGGAACTCACCCTCTGCCATCAGTTAATATTTTAACAAAAATTCCGAGGGATCGATTCAAAACGCTATGAGGGCCACGTGGTTTTTCACGCCTTGAGAGGCCCTGGCCTGTGAGGACTGGCCTGGCCCAGGTGCTGGGACTGTCCGGGAGGCCTGGGGCCTCCAGCAGGGCGGGGTGTCCGGGCAGTGCTCCCACGTGTCCCTGGGGCAGGAGGGGCGCCTGTGGGGTGAAGGCTCAGGCGTCCCGGTGGTTGAAGCTGGGTGTCCGGTCTCCACCCAGCAGCGTCCCCGGGCCCTTGGCTCCCCAGGGCAGCAGCTGCGTGTTGGGGGACAGAAGGGTTCGTGGTCAGGTGGCCCGGGTCCTCCTGCAGGGCCTGGCCGTGTCCACAGTTCGGGGGGAGGGGGACAGTGGGGAGGGCCAGGAAGCTCACAGGGACCCGGATCCACCTGTCCTCGGCCGAGGGCACCTTCCCACCCAGGCGGCCTCGCGCGGAGTAGGTGCTTTCTGATCCTCTGGGCCGCGGGGACAGGAGCCAGGCTGGCGGGGGGAGGGAGGGGATGGGCCTCAGAGACCTCCTGGCGGGCCCCGGAGCGAGGGAGGGAGGCGGCCCTCAGCACCGCGAGGGGTCCGCCAGGCCGGCCCCTGTCGGGGAGCGTCCACAGGGAGGGCACACCATCAGGCGAGGGCGCAGCGGAGCGGTGCTGGCCCTGCATCAGGTGGGGGTGTCTGTGGGGGCCGCCCAGGGTGAGGGGGCCCCGGGGGAGGGTCCGCCCGGGGGAGGCCCCCTGACGCCGCCTCGCTCCCCAGTGTGCGGCTGTGACCTGGCGGAGGGCGGCTTCTTCGTGCGGCAGGGCCAGCACATCTGCACCCGGGACTACCAGCGCCTGTACGGCACCCGCTGCTTCGCCTGCGACCGCTTCATCGAGGGCGAGGTGGTGTCGGCGCTGGGCCGGACCTACCACCCCGACTGCTTCGTGTGCGCCGCCTGCCGGTGAGTGAGCCCGCCCTGCGCCCACCTGGGGGCCCTGTGTCCACCCGGGCCCTGCGTCCACCCCGGGCCCTGTGTCCACCCCGACCCTGCGCCCACCCCGGGCCCTGTGTCCACCCCGACCCTGTGTCCACCCCGACCCTGTGCCCACCCCGACCCTGCGCCCACCCCGACCCTGCGTCCACCCCGACCCTGCGCCCACCCCGGACCCTGCGCCCACCCCGGACCCTGCGCCCACCCCGGGCCCTGTGTCCACCCCGACCCTGTGTCCACCCCGACCCTGTGTCCACCCCGACCCTGTGCCCACCCCGGGCCCTGCGCCCACCCCGGGCCCTGCGCCCACCCCGACCCTGTGTCCACCCCGACCCTGCGTCCACCCCGACCCTGCGCCCACCCCGGACCCTGCGCCCACCCCGGGCCCTGCGCCCACCCCGACCCTGTGTCCACCCCGACCCTGCGTCCACCCCGGCCCTGCGCCCACCCCGGACCCTGCGTCCACCCCGGGCCCTGTGCCCACCCCGACCCTGTGTCCACCCCGGGCCCTGTGTCCACCCCGGCCCTGTGTCCACCCCGACCCTGTGTCCACCCCGACCCTGCGCCCACCCCGACCCTGTGTCCACCCCGGGCCCTGTGCCCACCCCGACCCTGCGTCCACCCCGACCCTGCGCCCACCCCGACCCTGTGTCCACCCCGACCCTGTGTCCACCCCGACCCTGTGTCCACCCGGGCCCTGTGTCCACCCCGGCCCTGCGCCCACCCCGGCCCTGCGCCCACCCTGACCCTGTGTCCACCCCGACCCTGTGTCCACCCGGGCCCTGTGTCCACCCCGGCCCTGCGCCCACCCCGACCCTGTGTCCACCCCGACCCTGTGTCCACCCGGGCCCTGTGTCCACCCTGGCCCTGCGCCCACCCCGGCCCTGCGCCCACCCCGACCCTGTGCCCACCCCGACCCTGTGTCCACCCGGGTCCTGTGTCCACCCCGGGGCCCTGCGCCCCCCACCCCCTCCAGGGCCCTGTGACTCCCACCTCAGAACCCTGTGTCCACCCCGGGCCCTGCGCCCACCCCGGGCCCGGCACGTGTCCCCCTGCCTGTGCCCCCACAGCACCACACCCAGCACCGGGCACGTGTCCCCCTGCCTCCCTGCCTGTGACACCTCCCCCAGCCACCGGGCATGTGAGCCCCCAGCATGGCGGCTTCCAGGACCCCTCCCTCTCCACAGCCCCCCTCCCCCCGCACCGTCCCGCTCAGGGGCCGCCATGGTCTCTGTGCCGGGTCCCTCCCCTCTGCCTGGCACTGCCCACAGGGCCTGGGTCTCCACCCGCCTCAGCCCGGCTGGGCCTCCAGGCAGCTCCCGTCATTCACTCCCCAGCTTCCCACGGGCCTCGCGGGCCAGGCCTGGCCACCTGGGCGCATCAGCGACACCCCGGGCTCAGGCCGCCTCCGCAGTGCAGGGAGCTGCCTCCCGGGCCTCCCCCGGAGCGCCCCCCCATTGCATCCTGTCCTGGGCCCACCTCTCTAGCATCGTGCCCCTGAAGCAGCCTGATGTGAACCCCCTGTGGGCAGGGCCGGACACCATAAAGGGTGCAGTGACAGATGGGGGGAGAGGGGGACAGACCAGGTCCCACCCCTCCCTTCCCCCCTCCCTCCCTCCCTCCCCCACCACTGCCACACTGCTCCCAGGGGAATGTCTCATTTCTGGAAAACAAAGAACGAAAACCCTACTGTGGCCTGGCCAATGTGGCTCAGTGGTTGAGTGTCGACCCACGAACCAGGAGGTCACAGTTCAATGTCCAGTCAGGGCACGTGCCCGGCTGATCCCCATGTGGACGTGCAGGAGGCAGCCAGTCCGTGATGCTCTCATCGTTGATGTTTCTCTCTCTCTGCCCCTCCCTTCCTCTCTCTGGAAAACTAAACAAAGGGCGTGTGTGCTGCTCTCTCCTCTGTCCCCGCACCCAGTCCCACAGGAGCCTGTCCGGCCGCGTGTCTGCACCCGGCACTGCGGGCAGAGGGGGTTTGCCGGGCCGCGGAGAGGGCGGAGCCGGGCTGGCCGTTCCTGAGGAGCCCCTGTGTCTTAGCCAGCGTGTGGGGGGCAGAGTCCCGAAGGCTGTCGGTGATTTCTGGGCGCGTTGCTTAGAGACCAGGCTGACGCCGTCACCCGGGGCTGGGAGGCCGGCTCTGGGCAGTCTGCTGAGCTGAGGGTGACAGCGGCGGCTCCGTCCTGCTGGGCCCGGACCCCCGTCCACTGTAAACCACGAGAACAGCGGTCAGAAGACACAGAGCACCTGCTGGCAGACAGGGGGCCCAGGCAGCTGCGGCCTGAGAGGAGGAGGGCAAAGGAAGGGAGCCCTGTGGCCGGCCTGGCCTGCTGCCCGCTCCCAGGCACGCCAGGCCTGGCATTCTGCTGAGCCGGGAGCCGGTGCTCCGAGAGGCAGAGCAGCTCGCGGAGGGGAGAGCCGCATGGGCCAGAGCCCGGAGCCATGGAGGGGCCATCGAGTCCTGACCGACACAGAGCCCTGTGGGCACGGCGGCCTCTCACGGGGTGAGGCAGAGAGGGACCAGCTTGCTGTAGGCTAAGCCGTCCCCAGGTCTGGGAGGCCTTGGTGCTGGCCAGGCGGACAGTCCGTACTGAATGTCCAGCACACAGTAGGGGCACCACCAGGGCCATCCATGCATTGTCAGTGGGACGGAGCCAGCAGAGTGCAGGAGAAGCCTCAGAGAGGCCAGGCTGATTGGCAAACCGGCCGCCGCCCGCCAAAGCACAGGGCAGCCCGCCCTGTGCGAGGAAAAGCAAGCCCTACCCTCAGCGACGTGACACTGACCATGTCCACCTTCCACCCAACGCCCCTGCTCACAAACAGGCACAGGAGCGCCCCGCCCTCAGCGACATGACACTGACCATGTCTGACTCCCATCCAACGCCCCTGCTCACAAACAGGCACAGGAGCGCCCCGCCCTCGGCAGTGTGACACTGACCATGTCTGACTTCCACCCAAAGCCCCGGCTCACAAACAGGCACAGGAGCGCCCCGCCCTCGGCAGTGTGACACTGACCATGTCTGACTTCCACCCAAAGCCCCGGCTCACAAACAGGCACAGGAGCGCCATGGAGCCGGGAGAGAAACCCTCATGGCAGGGGCCCGGGAGGGAGAGCCACAGCGGGACGCACAGCAGGGACTCGGAGACACTGCCTGTCGAGTGGCCAGGCGTGTCAGGGAAAGCTGAAACGTAAGAAAGTCACAGAAGACCCTGGAAGAAACCACGTGGAGCTTCTAGAAATGAAAATTGCAATGTCTGAAAGGAGACATTCCTTGGGAGGAATGAGCAGTAGGTTTTGCTGAGGAAAAGATGAGTGAACTGGACATAACTATAGAAACTACTTATCTAAAGCAAAAAGACCAAAAAAAAGACTGACTATGTGACGAGAGGCTGGGGGGTCTGTGGATATAGATCTGTCTGTCTGTCCCTCTGGGTTGGGAGTGGAGACCCAGGGGACTAGAGAAGACTGAAAAAAATTGGAAGAAATAAAGGTTGGAAAATGTCCAAATTTGATGAAAACTGGTAACGCATGGTTCCAAGAATCCCAGTGAACCCCATGGGAATAAACACAACAGAAATCTGCCGACTCTAGCACAATCAAATTTCTGAGAAACAATAATAAGAAGAAAATCTTAGAAGCAGCGAGAGAAAAAACACCACCACATATGTACAGTGGAATCTATCCTATATAATAAAAGGGTAATATGCAAATAGACTGAATGGCAGAACCACTGAACAATCAACCAAAGTGTAATATGGTAATGATATGCTAAGGCTGCTCAGCCACTTGCTATGACGTGCACTGACCACCAGGGGGCAGATGCTCCAACTGGTAGGTTAGCTTGCTGCTTGGGTCCAGCCAATTAGGACTGAGCAAAATGGACCAGCCACGCCCTGGAGCCCTCCCATAGTTCCTCCCCAGCCCAGCCGTGCACCAATGGGGTCCCTCAGCCTAGCCTGCACCCTCTTGCATTCCGGGCCCCTCAGGGGATGTCAGAGAGCTGGTCTCGCCCGATCCCGCAGGCCACTCCCCTTGGGAGGGTGCCAGATGCAGGGCTCACAGTGGGCGAGCCTCTTCTTATCGGGACTGATTGGGCGGGAGCCCACAGCAGCCACAATGGGGTCAGGATGAGCAAGAGCGGCAGGTAGGAACTGCAAGTGGCATTGGACTGCGGGTTTCAGCCTGATCCTTGCAGGCCACCCAGAGGGACCCCACCTGCGCACGAATTCATGCACCAGGCCTCCAGTGTATATGTATAAGGCTAATATACAGAGTGTCCCCACGGGAGTTCAGGGAGTACTAACGCTCACTATAACGTGTGCTGACCACCAGGGGGTGGCATGGAGTGAAGGAAAGCCCTGGCCGGCAGCCGGCACCAAGGAAGGGAGGCCCCAGCCAGCAGCCGGTGAGCCCCAATCGGCCCTGATCACCAGCCAGGCCTACGGCCCTTACTCGTGCACAAATTTCATGCACTGGGCCGCTGGTAAAAGAATTCCTGCAGACTTCTTATCTGAAACTGTGTGCACCAGAAGACAATAGAACAGCATCTTTATTTATTTAAAAATATATATATTTTATTGATTTCTTATAGAGAGAAAGAGAGAGGAATAGAGAGTTAGAAACATCAATGAGAGAGAAACACCGACCAGCTGCCTCCTGCACCCCCCCCCCCCACCGGAGATGTGCCCACAACCAAGGTACATGCCCTTGACCGGAATCGAACCTGGGACCTTCAGTCTGCAGGCCGACGCTCTATCCACTAAGCCAAACCGGTTTGGGCTAGAATAACATCTTTAAAGAGCTGAAAAAATCTATAAAAAACCCCCACACAACCCTTCAAAAATGAAGGCAAGACCGGTAAAGGGTATGGCGTTCTTTTTGGGGGGTGATAAAACCTTCCTCAAATGGACTGTGAGGATGGTCGCACCGCGTTGACTTCCCTAACAGCCTTCGAGTGGGATGTGGCGGTTAGCGTGTGCACGAACAGAAGTGTCGGTAAAGTGGTCAGTCGGAAAACAAAGACGTGTAGACGCACAGACGCTGAGGGGATGTGTTGCCGGGTGTCCTGCACCGATTAGAGGAAACTTCAAGCTGAAGGAGAACGTCAAAAGACACAGAAGAAGCAAAGCAAGCCGTCAGCTGGTAGATAACACGTATGTCCTGGAGCACTGGTGTCCGAAATATATAAAGAGCTTCTGCAAGTCAATATTAGAAGAAGAAGAAAATGGGGGGGAAAGAAAACCTTATTAAAACATGGGCAAACGAGTTTAACATGTGCTCCCCGCAATATGTATGTGAGAAAGAGGCTGAGCATCGTCCGCACCAGGGGAGGCAGCTCGGACTCAGGTGAAATGCCGCCCTAGAGCCCCCAGAATGCCCGGAACTGAGATGAAGGGTGGGGGTGTCGGTGAGGACCGGAGCGAAAGGAGCTCTCGGACACCCTGGTGGGACGCCGAAGGGTGCCACCGCCGGGGGAGGCAGTTGGCCGGACGCACAGGTGGCGTGTGACCCCGCACCTCCGCTCCTCGGGGCCCGCTGGCTCCCTCTGCTGGTGTGGGTGAGGCACTGCTCTCCGGTGTCACGGACTGGCCTGAGGGCACCCCGCAGGGCGCGGCAGCACTGGGTGAGGGACCGGGAGGAGGTGGCGGTGTGTGCGTGGGTCCTGGCTTGTCACTCCTTCTCTCGTTTCAGGCTGCCCTTCCCGCCTGGAGACCGTGTGACCTTCAACGGGAAGGAATGCATGTGCCAGAAGTGTTCCCTGCCCAAGTCCACGGGGGGCAGTGCGCACCTGTCCCAGGGCCTCTGGAGTGAGTGGGCGCTGAGTGGCGGGGGGGGGGGGGGTGAGTGGGGGAGGCGCTGACCAGAGGGGGGGGATCATAAGGAAGGGAACCGGGATAGAATCTCCGGTACATTCATGCCGTCAAACCTTTGCACGGGCTGTGCCCGCTGCCCCGTGAGCCACTCCTGCTTTCCACCCACCTCCCTCCCAGCTCTGGCCTGCCTCCTCCAGGAAGCCTTCCTGGCTGCTTCTCGTCCTCTCCCTCCTGCTCACTCGGCCCCCAACCATCAGCTCCAGGCCGTCTAGACGCCCCTTGGAAAGCCCTTAAAAGAGCATTGAACTTGGCTCCTGTGGTCAGGGTGTATATGCAGTAGGTGCTCAATATGTGCTTCTTGCATGTAGAAGCTGGAGATCGTTCCTCTAAAAGCAGGAGCGCCAGCTGCCTGTGGGTGTGGGCACAGTGCGATCCGGCAGGCGGAGGCAGGTGCTGGCCTTTGCCGACGGGAGGGGGGGGGGGTACCGAGAGGGATGGGGGCCGGGGCCGGGGCCCCAGTGCTCCGGGCCCTGCTGCCGCCACGATCCCACTGCAGAGGTGGTGCTTGGAGCCCCCCTGCGTGTGGGGTCGCTGTGGTGTCCCAGCACCTGGGCCACGTGGCCTGGGGCAGCGTGGGCGTTCCTGCTGATTTCCGGAGCCAGGCCCTTGCCCAGTGTTGGTTCCTCCCGCCCACGTGGTTCCCATCCATTCATTCATTCATTCACTCCCCCCCCCCCCCACCTGGGCAGCGGTGGAGGAAAGCCTCCCATCCCTCAGACACTGGACCTTGGAGCTGGAGTCTGTCTTAAAGTCATTTTCCAAAGTTGCATGTGGTTTGGATGGTGTGATAATTTGGGAAAGCCAGAGCTTGCAAGCAACCCTGGGACCGTTATGGCTCTGGCTGGAGGGTGCACCTGCCCAGGCCCAGGTGCTCCACCCCCGGCAGGCAGGCCTCTGTCTCCCCAGCTCCCGGCCCAGTGCATACAGTCAGTGCCCAGCCATGGCCCATGCATGCAGTCAGCGCCGAGCCACGGCCCGGTGGATGCAGTCAGTGCCCAGCCACAGCCTGGTGCATGCAGTCAGCGCTCAGCCATGACCCAGTACATGCAGTCAGCGCTCAGCCATGACCCAGTGCATGCAGTCAGCGCTCAGCCACGGCCCAGCTCAGCCATGGCCCATGCATGCAGTCAGGGCCGAGCCATGGCCCGGTGCATGCAGTCAGCTCAGCCATGGCCCAGTGCATGCAGTCAGCTCAGCCACAGCCCAGTGCATGCAGTCAGCGCTCAGCCACGGCCCTGTGCATGCAGTCAGCGCTCAGCCACGGCCCAGTGCATGCAGTCAGCGCTCAGCCACGGCCCGGTGCATGCAGTCAGCGCTCAGCCACGGCCCGGTGCATACAGTCAGCTCAGCCATGGCCCAGTGCATGCAGTCAGCTCAGCCACGGCCTGGTGCATGCAGTCAGCGCTCAGCCATGGCCCAGTGCATGCAGTCAGCTCAGCCACAGCCCAGTGCATGCAGTCAGCGCTCAGCCACAGGCCCGGTGCATGCAGTCAGCGCCCAGCCACAGCCCGGTGCATGCAGTCAGCGCTCAGCCACAGCCCGGTGCATGCAGTCAGCTCAGCCACAGCCCGGTGCATGCAGTCAGCGCTCAGCCACGGCCTAGTGCATGCAGTCAGCTCAGCCATGGCCCAGTGCATGCAGTCAGCTCAGCCACGGCCCGGTGCATGCAGTCAGCTCAGCCACAGCCCAGTGCATGCAGTCAGCGCTCAGCCACAGCCCAGTGCATACAGTCAGCTCAGCCACAGCCCAGTGCATGCAATCAGCGCTCAGCCACAGCCCAGTGCATGCAGTCAGCGCTCAGCCACAGCCCAGTGCATGCAGTCAGCGCTCAGCCACGGCCTGGTGCATGCAGTCAGCTCAGCCATGGCCCGGTGCATGCAGTCAGCGCTCAGCCACAGCCCAGTGCATGCAGTCAGCGCTCAGCCACGGCCCAGTGCATGCAGTCAGCGCTCAGCCACGGCCCAGTGCATACAGTCAGCTCAGCCACAGCCCGGTGCATGCAATCAGCGCTCAGCCACAGCCCAGTGCATACAGTCAGCTCAGCCACAGCCCAGTGCATGCAATCAGCGCTCAGCCACAGCCCAGTGCATACAGTCAGCTCAGCCACAGCCCGGTGCATGCAGTCAGCTCAGCCACGTGGGAACAAGCTTGGTGACTTGTTTTCTACATGTGTGCCCCCCTGCCCTGTAGCAGGTCCCCACAGCACACCAGCCGGACTGTCCCCTCTGTCTGCTCCCCAGGGCACTCACTGCTTTCAGGGTGTCCCGAGACCCAGCGCCGAGGCTCCCCTCCCCGGGCCCCTGCGGTGACATCTGTGTCCTCTCCGCAGGCTGCGGGGGCTGCGGCGCAGAAATAAAAAACGGCCAGTCCCTGGTGGCCCTGGACAAGCACTGGCACCTGGGCTGCTTCAAGTGCAAGACCTGCGGGAAGGAGCTGAACGCCGAGTACATCAGCAAGTGAGCGGGCCGAGCTGGAGCCTCGGGGGGCCCCGCCTGCCCTGCCTGCCCTGCTCCCCTGGCCGGGCTGGTGTCTGTCCCTGCGCCATGCAGCCTGCTGCCTTAGGTCTGCAGAGACGCCACGCCATTCGTTCTGCTGACGGAGCAGATGTCACGCTCCCATCTTTGACAGTCACATGCCTCCCAGCCCATCCTCGAGGTCGCGCCCCCCTCCCCCCCGGCACGCCCTGGGAATTCGCCCCCTGCTGGCACCGGCTCTCCTGCACAATGCAAAGTGGCCAGCGGCCAACGCCAGTCCTGCGTGAGGGACGAAGGGCGGTGCAGTCTCCGTGGTCACAGCTGACACCTCAGCCCGGGCTCAGACCTCTCCTGCCCAGGCCCCACAGGGCAGCTCCCGCCGCGGGCCCACACAGCGCCCCTGTGTGCTCCGGGGGCCGATGGCTGCAGTGGGGAGGGAGCCTCAGGAGAGCCGGCCCTGCGCGGGCACCTGTGTGCCAGGGCGCACATCTCCGTCCAGAGCCCGGACAGACAGGGAGCCCGGCTGGGAGGGAGGGGGTGCAGTGCGGCCGCGGCCTCGGCTCCCAGCAGCAGGGTCTCTGCGCAGCTGGAGCCTCCGCTGGCTCTCGTGCCCCAGGGGATAGGCTGTCCCAGGGGCTGATGGTTAAAGAAGTCCTGCCATAAAACGGCACGGAATGCAGCACACATACATGCGCACACTGGCACACACATACTGGTACATCCGTGCACACACAAAAATGCTGACACACGTGCATACATGCACACACTGACACACATACACCGGCACATACACTCACAAGCTGGCACACGCACACCTGCTAGCACATGCTGGTGCACACACATCCTGGCACATGCTAGTACACACATAGACTGGCATTGTCACATACATGCCTGCACACATGTATACTGGCACATGCACACACACGCACACACGCACAAGCTGGTGCGCACACAGATATTGGCACATGCACACACACACACAGAGGAGGGAGACCCCATCACTTCTGGTGCCTTCCCTCAGATTCTGCAGGAGGCCTTGCTGGGTCTGTTTTCTTTCTTTCACCTGCACGTGCCTCTGTTTACCTCAGAACAAACGGTTCAGTGGAGCCCCTGTGCGGGGCAGCCCCTCGTCCCTGCGGCTCCGGGAGGAGAGGGAGGGACGCCGAGGTGGGCGGCGGCCAGCTTGTGTGAGAGGGAAGCCAGCCGCCCAGCCCCCGGGAGGCAGCGGCCCTGCCCGGCCCACACCGCCTGTACCTAGCAGCCTCCGACTGCCCCAGACTGAGGAGGAGGGCGCCTGGGCGTCTCCATGGAGACACCATCTTTGAACCTCGGGGGTGTGCTGCACGCCCACCCGTTTGTGGGAACCGCAGGGCCCGAGGCCAGTGGCCTTTGGATGTGGCTCCTCCGGCCCCCGTTTCTACCTCCCGGTCCTGTAGCCCAGGCTTCCCCCTCGGAGAGGCACCCCTGCAGCCCAGGCCCTGCCCCTCCCGCAGGCACCCTGTCTAGAGGAGGGTCATCATCATGATAATCACAGTCACTTTCAAATGAGCCCGCAGCCAGCCACTGGCTCAGGGGCTGAGTGACGACCTAGGAACGCCAAGGTCACAGTTCGATTCCCGGTCAGGGCACGGGCCTGGGCTGCAGGCTCGATCCCCAGGGGGGGCCGTGCAGGAGGCAGCCGGTCAGGGATTCTCCCTCATCATGGATGTTCCTACTTGCTCTCCCTCTTTTCCTCTGAAATTTAAAAAAAGGAAAGAAACGAGCTCTGGGTGGGCAGATGCTGGACCCAGCGCTGTGCCTGCGTGATCTCCGTCCACGAGCACGGACGGGTCCTTTTCCTCAGGGCTCCCTCTGTGGTGGCTCCGCGGTTAGGCGACCTGCCCCAGGCTGCCCGGCTACCCAGGGGCAGTGCCCAAACGGTGTGTCACTCCTCACTAATACCGCCACCACCGGCACCGCCACCACCACCGGCACCGCCTGGCGCGGACAGGCCCGCTGTCCCCCTGGAGGCGCCGCCAGCCCCTCCCCCTGCCGCTGAGCTGGCAGCTGGCCCCGCGCTCTGCGCCTCGTTTTCTCCATCGTGAAACGGGACCGTCCTCGCGGTCTGTCGTGGGGCTGGTGTGGTGACAGAGGGTGGGCCTGTCGCCTGGAGGAGGAGGAGGAGCGGGCTTGTCCCTCTGCCACAGCCCCTCTCCCAGGCGAGGGTGTGGGTCTTGGGGCGCCCACCCTGCCTGCTGGCTCGTTGCAGGGACGGGCTGCCCTACTGCGAGGCGGACTACCACGCGGAGTTCGGCATCCGCTGTGACGGCTGCGAGAAGTACATCACGGGGCACGTGCTGGAGGTAAGGGCCCCACGGCCTGTGTGTTTGTGCGGGGATCTGCACCAGAGCCTTGGCCACCTGGTCCTCCCGCTCTGCTGGGGACCCCGGGAGCCAGCCCCCTCCTCCAGGAAGCGCTCCAGGGCCTCTCCCTGTGCCCTGGACGAGCTGCTGGAGCTGGAGAGGTGCGGGGACTGGAGGTCCTGGTTCAGCCTGAGGCCTAGAGCGAGAGGCCGGGAGGGCTTAAGCGGGCGCAGCAGGCAGGACTGTGTGCCCGGGGCAGAGGAGACTGGTCGCCCGGCAGGCCGGGTCACGGGGCACTTGCAGGCCAAAGCCCTCACGCCCGGGGCCCAGGCTGCCGCCCTCACCCACCCCACCCTCCTCGGCTCTGGGCTGCTGGCTGCTGTTGGGGCTGCCGTGGTCCCTGGGGGAGGCGGGGGACAGGACCTCAGGGAAAGGCAAGCAGCTGAGCACGGGGTGTGTGCGCGGGGTGGAGGGTGTGTGGGGGGTGGAGGGTGTGTGGGGGGTGGAGGGTGTGTGAGGGGGTGGAGGGTGTGTGGGGGGTGGAGGGTGTGTGGGGGGTGGAGGGTGTGTGAGGGGGTGGAGGGTGTGTGGGGGGTGGAGGGTGTGTGTGGGGGGGTGGAGGGTGTGGGTGGGGGGTGGAGGGTGAGGGTGGGGGTGGAGGGTGTGTGGGGGGTGGAGGGTGTGTGTGGGGGGGTGGAGGGTGTGGGTGGGGGGTGGAGGGTGAGGGTGGGGGGTGGAGGGTGTGTGTGTGGGGTGGAGGGTGTGGGTGGGGGGTGGAGGGTGAGGGTGGGGGGTGAGGGTGGGGGGTGGAGGGTGTGTGAGGGGGTGGAGGGTGTGGGTGGGGGGTGGAGGGTGAGGGTGGGGGGGGGAGGGTGTGTGTGTGGGGGTGGAGGGTGTGTGAGGGAGTGGAGGGTGTGGGTGGGGGGGGAGGGTGTATGTTGGGGGTGGAGGGTGTGTGTGGGGGGGTGGAGGGTGTGTGAGGGAGTGGAGGGTGTGGGTGGGGGGTGGAGGGTGTATGTTGGGGGTGGAGGGTGTGTGTGGGGGGGTAGGGGGGTGGAGGGTGTGTGAGGGGGTGGAGGGTGTGGGTGGGGGGTGGAGGGTGAGGGTGGGGGTGGAGGGTGAGGGTGGGGGGTGGAGGGTGTGTGTGTGGGGTGGAGGGTGTGGGTGGGGGGTGGAGGGTGAGGGTGGGGGGTGGAGGGTGAGGGTGGGGGGGGAGGAGGGTGTGTGAGGGGGGTGGAGGGTGAGGGTGGGGGGTGGAGGGTGAGGGTGGGGGGTGGAGGGTGTGTGTGTGGGGTGGAGGGTGTGTGTGGGGGGGTGGAGGGTGTGTGAGGGAGTGGAGGGTGTGGGTGGGGGGTGGAGGGTGTATGTTGGGGGTGGAGGGTGTATGTGGGGGGGTAGGGGGGTGGAGGGTGTGTGAGGGGGTGGAGGGTGTGGGTGGGGGGGGGGGGGGTGTGGGTGGGGGGGGGGAGGGTGTATGTTGGGGGTGGAGGGTGTGTGTGTGGGGTGGAGGGTGTGGGTGGGGGGTGGAGGGTGAGGGTGGGGGGTGGAGGGTGAGGGTGGGGGGTGGAGGGTGTGTGTGGGGGGTGGAGGGTGTGGGTGGGGGGTGGAGGGTGAGGGTGGGGGGTGGAGGGTGAGGGTGGGGGGGTGGAGGGTGTGTGTGTGGGGTGGAGGGTGAGGGTGGGGGGGGGGAGGGGGTGTGTGAGTGGGTGGGGTGGAGGGGGTGTGTGGGGGTGGAGGGTGGGGTGGGTGGTGGGGTGGAGGGTGTGTGTGTGGGGTGGAGGGTGTGTGTGTGGGGTGGGAGGGTGTGGGTGTGGGGGTGGAGGGTGAGGGTGGGGGTGGAGGGTGTGTGTGGGGGTGGAGGGAGAGTGTGTGTGGGGGGTGTGGAGTGTGTGTGAGGGGGTGGAGGGTGTGGGTGGGGGTGGAGGGTGTGTGTGTGTGGGGGTGGAGGGTGTGGGTGGGGGTAGGGGGGTAATAAGGGGTGGAGGGTGTGGAGTGGGGGGGGTGGAGGGTGTGCTATGTTGGGGGTGGAAGGTTGTGTGAGGGTGGTGGAGGGTGCTAGTGGGGGCGGTGGAGGGTGTGTGTGTGGGGTGGAGGGGGTTTGTGTGTGGGGGGTGGAGGGTGTTGTGAGGGAGTGGAGGGGTGGGTGGCGGGTGGAGGGTGTGTGTGGGGGTGGGGGTTGGTGTGTGAGGGGTTGGAGGGTGTGGGTGTGGGGGGTGGAGGGTGCTGGTGTTGTGGGGGGGGGTGGAGGGTGTGTGAGGGGGTGGAGGGTGTGGGTGGGGGGTGGAGGGTGTGTGTGTGGGGGGTAGGGGGGTGGAGGTGTGGGTGGGGGGTGGGGGTGTGGGGTGGAGGGTGTGTGGGGGGTGGAGGGTGAGGGTGGGGGGTGGAGGGTGTATGTTGGGGGTGGAGGGTGTGTGTGGGGGGTAGGGGGGTGGAGGGTGAGGGTGGGGGGTGGAGGGTGTGTGAGGGGGTGGAGGGTGTGTGTGGGGGGTGGAGGGTGTGTGAGGGGGTGGAGGGTGTGTGAGGGGGTGGAGGGTGTGTGAGGGGGTGGAGGGTGTGGGTGGGGGGTGGAGGGTGTATGTTGGGGGTGGAGGGTGTGTGTGGGGGGTAGGGGGTGGAGGGTGAGGGTGGGGGGTGGAGGGTGTGTGAGGGGGTGGAGGGTGGGAATGGGGGGGCGGTGGACCCAGCCCAGGCCCCAGAAGCGGCCTCTGGGCAGTGGGCCGGGCGGTGCTGAGGCTGCAGAGCTGCCCACACCCCCAAGGGAACCCCCGGGACTGACTTGCATTTTAACGGCTGCTCCACCTCCGGAGCAGGCTGCCGAGGAGAGGAGCCGCTCAGACGCCGTGGCCTCGCTCACGGGGGACAGAGAACTGGGGCGCGTGAACACACACGGCAGAGGGGGCTGCCGGCGGGCGGGGGCGGGGCGGGGGCCCTAACACTAGTGTCTGGTGCCGGGAGGAGAGGTGACTGGGCGGGGGGCACGCAGCGCCAACACAGGTCCTGAACCAGAGACAAGCCCAGCCCAGCACGTGTGCGCGTGTTGGTGCTGCAGGCGTGTGACCTGGCCGTGGGCCGTGCCCTTGCGCCCGGGAGCGGAGACCTGCCCCAGCCGCGGCCTGCCAGCTTCTTGGCCCCACAGAAGGCTCCAGAACTGTCCTCAGGGAGCTGCCCCAGCTCAGTGCGGCCAGGGGTGTCTGATAGGGGGCCGGGGCAGCCCGCAGGCCTCCCGGGGTGGACCCGGGTCACCAGGGAAGGCGACCAGTCTGCAGAGTAAGCGGGCGGACGGTGCTGGGTTGCAGCCGAGCACAGCATGGGGTGCGCTGTCCACCCTCCCCCAGACTCCCCCCACAATGCTCTGTGTCCTGCGGAGGCTGATGGATGGATGGATGCCGGGAAGATGGATGCCCGTGTTCTCTGCCGGAGCCGGGCTGGCTGCTCCCTCCCGGAGAGGCGAGGCGGCAGCGAGGGCGGGCGGAGAGGAGCCGGGGGAGGCGAGCCGCTGGCAGCGGGAGCGCAGCCGCCCTGGTGGCTCCCGGGAGCCGCCGGAGCGCGCCTGGCTGTGCGGGCAGCGGGCCCGGGGCGGCAGGTGGCAGGTGCCGGGCCTGAGAGAGAAGGGAAGGCCCGGACCGCTGGCAGGGGGTGCGGCAGGCGGCCGCCCTCGAGGACACGCTGCCCGCCCAGGCCCGTCCCGGGAGCAGGCCGTGGGGTTGGCTGGTCGGACGGGGCTTTGGCGCCAGGACCCCGGCAGGTAGGCAGCCTGGCCAGGTGCCCCCGGGGGCTGGCGGGGAGGCCAGAGGCGCCGTGCGGGGCTGCAGGTGGGGGCTTGCAGGGAGCAGGGGCACCTGTCACTCCCTGCCCCCCATCTGGCCCCCAAGATGTTTGTCACCCCGAGCCAGAGCGGAGAGCAGCCGGCCCTGTCCTCGCGGCCGGCGAGCCCCCGGTCTGCCCGCACCTGTGCAGAGCCCCACCTGTGCTGCCGCCGGCTGCGTGTGCCTCGGCGGCAGTGGGCGCTCCCTCCGCCTCCCTCTCTCACATCGGAGGCATCCTGTGCCCCGGTCCCCGAGCCCTGCATGTCGGTGTCTGTCCTGATGGGCCTGCTCTGTGCCGGCGGGGGGAGGACCTGCTGGTCCTGCAGGGCCTGGGAGGGGCTGATGGGGGGGGAGGGGGCCGGGAGGGGACCGGGAGGGGCCGAGGTGGGTCCTGGAGCAGCTCCTGTCAGCGCTGGGCTCCGGGGGTGGAGGCGCCCAGGGAGAGGGCCAGGAGGGGCTGGGAGCGGCCGGGACAGCAGTGCAGCCAGACCTCCAGACCAGCCGAGTGAGGGGGGGCCGGACCCGCTGTCACCCCCTGCACACCCACCTCACTCCCGATTCGTTCTCAGTAGAATTAGCTGCCAGATAGGGGAGCAGGCGAGGATGGGGTGCTGCTGTCTGAGCCCCACCTGTGTCAGCAGCCTCGCTGTCCCCATGGCAACGAGAAAGCAAGTTTCCTCTGGGACCACCCATCCCTCCCTCGCTGCCTGCCTCCCTGCCTCCTCCCTCCTCAGCCCACACTCACCTCGCAGGTCCCCCGGGCTGGGCTGCCTTCCCGAGAAGGTGGAGACGGGTGCCTGCCTGCCTGCAGGAGACCCCGTGGGAGAGGGGCCGCCCAGCCCCGCCGCCTTGTCATCCGTTTCTCCGCTCCCGCGCCTATGGACACGGCCGATGCCGCTGTGAGCGTCCGTGTGCGGTGCTGAGGGGACCCCGTCCTCCTCTCTCTCGTTCTGGCCTCTCACCTCCCCCGGCCCCGGGGTGATCCTCCGCTTTCTCGGGACAGACGGTTCCAGGCGGCTGCGCCGTTACCTCCCGAAGCCCAGGGCCCCGACGGGAGCTGCTTCGGTTCGCTCTGCCCCAGCATCGCCCCGGGCTGCTCGGTGCCTGTGGGGTGTGGGCGCCTCACGGGGTGTGAGTGCCTCTCAGGGTCTGGGTGCCTCGGGGGTGTGGGTGCCTCGGGGGTGTGAGTGCCTCGGGGGTGTGGGTGCCTCACGGGGTGTGAGTTCCCCTCAGGGTGTGGGTGCCTCGGGGGTGTGGGTGTCTCAGGGGTGTGGGCGCCTCTCAGGGTGCGGATGCCTCGGGGGTGTGGGTGCCTCTCGGGGTGTGGGTGCCTGTGGGGTGTGGGTGCCTCTCAGGGTGTGGGTCCCTGCAGGGTGTGGGCGCCTCTCGGGGTGCGGGTGCCTCGGGGGTGTGGGTGCCTGTGGGGTGTGGGTGCCTCGGGGGTGTGGGCGCCTCGGGGGTGTGGGTGCCTCGCGGGGTGTGAGTGCTCGGGGGTGTGGTGTCTCAGGGGTGTGGGCGCCTCTCAGGGTGTGGCTGCCTCGCGGGGTGTGGGTCCCTGCAGGGTGTGGGCGCCTCTCGGGGTGTGGGTGCCTCTCGGGGTGTGGGTGCCTCGGGGGTGTGGGTGCCTGTGGGGTGTGAGTGCCTCTCAGGGTGTAGGTGCCTCTCAGGGTGTGGGTGCCTGTGGGGTGTGGGTCCCTGCAGGGTGTGGGCACCTCTCGGGGTGCGGGTGCCTCGGGGGGTGACGCCGGCTCCTTCGTGGCCTGGGTGGGCACAGCCCCTGCTCCTGGGCCCTGCGGACGTCCTCTCTGGCGATGGCCGCGCCGTGGCCGGCCGGCAGGGCTGTGTGCTCTGTCCGGGCTGGAGGATGCCTGCACATTCCGGTCTGTGATGGCAAACACCTCCTCCTGCCTCGGCGGTCCCTCCCTCCGGTGAGGCTGTGCTGCTCGGGCGTGTGGGAGCCGTGAAGAGGACCCCGGGTTTCCTTCTCAGAGTTCATGCGTGTAGCTTGCACATTGGGCCACATGGGGGCAAGCTTCGCCGGGCATGTCTCACCCCAGCAGAGCACGCACCGGACACGCAGCTTCATACATGTCCACAGACTGGACCCTGTGCCACCAGCCCCCGGACAAGAGTGTACCAGCAACCCCAATACCCGGGCCCCCCACACCCCCAGGCAGCCACCACCCCGACTGAGAGTGCTTCCGCTTGTGGGGATGGAGCCCCTCCCAGTGTCCGGCTGTTCCAAGCCCGTCTGGGGTCTTCTCGGGCTCACCTGGGCCTGGACCCGCTGACAGTGGGGGGTGGGGAGCGGCTCACAATGAAGCTCACCCTGTCACTCGCTCGCAGGGAAAGTGACTCTGACTCAGGCGAGTCCAGGGAGAGGTTGTGGGGCTCTTCCCGTTTCAGGAGAGAGTGAACCATGGGGATCAGCACCCGCTTCTTTTAATCCTCACCTGAGGACGTTTCTTTTCATTGGTTTCTAGAGAGAGTGGGAGGGAGGGAGGAGGGGGGGGGGAAGAGAGAGAGAGAGAGAGAGAGAGAGAAACATCGATGTGAGAGAGACACATCGGTGGGTTGCCTCCTGCCCCGGCCGGGGCTGGGGAACTTGCTACTGAGGTACATGCCCTTGACCAGGAATCGAACCTGGGACCCATGAGTCCACAGGCCAATGCTCTATCCACTGAGCCACACCAGCCAGGGCCACATCCACTCTTAGCCACAGGCTGCAGCCCCCGCCCTTCCCTGAAGGGGTAAGAAATACTCACTATAAAGTAAGACAATACTTTAAACACAATATTTGGGGGGTGTTTTGGAGTTTATTTGTTTGTTTTTGGCACCATGCAGAACTAAGCCGAACCAGTGGGTGCAATTAGTTTAGGTTATTTCAGTATTAACATGTAAACCTAATTTAATGGGCTTTAAGAATTATGAAAGTCATAAATGCTAAGAGAGAAAATCAAGCAATACAGAGATGCCTAAGAAAATTACTAATTTTCTCCCCTGGGCTTCCCAGTCCCTTCCCTCTGTTCCCCTCCACCCCCCCCCCCCCCACTCCCCAAATAATGCCAGCCTTGCCCTGCCCAGCTCCTCCTCCTCCTGGGCCCCTGGTACAGAGGTGACCAGTGACTGGCTGGCCCTCCACCTTCTGGGGGAGGTACAGGGAGGCTGCCCTTGGACGGCTGAGCCGGAGCTGCTGACGCCAGTGGCCTGGCTAGGCCTCTGTGCCCAGACGTGGTTCCCAGAGGGCAGAGCCAGCTGGCACCCACAGCACCGGCCACTCACCCGATCGGGCTCTGGGACTCCCTGCTGGCAGCATGCCCGCCCACACCCTGGCACCGGCTGCACCCACAGGGCCCTCGCTCTGTCCCCACAGGCGGGCGAGAAGCACTACCACCCGCTGTGCGCGCTCTGCGTCCGGTGCGGCCGGATGTTCGCCGAGGGCGAGGAGATGTACCTTCAAGGTAAGCTGGGCACACCGCCTGTCCCGGGGCAGGTCCAGCATCGCCCAGGCCCATCGCACGCGCTGTGTGTGAACGAGGGTCACGGGTGTGCTCCCCTAGTGAGGGGGCCCACAATGCAGCGGGAGCGGGGACAGGGCCCAAGCAGGCGTTCCTGAGCAGCTTGGCAGGACGGCGGGTGGGGGTGGGACGGCGGGCATGGTGGGAGGCAGAGCCCATGGCCCCGGTCTGCCTGGAGGGGGCAGGAGCTGCTGGGACCCTCCTGAAAGGCCTCGGGGAGGATGTTTGGCGTCGAGACCCATCTCTTCGAAATAGACTTGTGTTGATTTCAGAGAGGAGGGGAGAGGGAGCGAGAGAAACATCAGTGATGAGAGAATCATGGATCGGCTGCCTCCTGCACGACCCCACTGGGGATGGAGCCTGACGCGCGGACCTGGGCCCTGACCGGGAATGGAACTGTGGCCTCCTGGTTCGGGAGTCAGAGCTCACCACTGAGCCGCAGGGCCGGGCGAGACCCATCTCTTTGGCTGCAGTTCTTCTCAATGATCTCTCTGTGCCCAGTGTAAGGGGCCGCCGGGCAGGGCGGGCAGGGGCAGGCCGCACACTGCCCCGTGTTTGCTCAGGGGCTGTGTGATGGCATCATGCGGCGACATCTGGGCCAGCTGCCACACAGGCCGCCCTTGCTGCGGCCGAGCCTCACGGGTGAGGTCAGCCAGGATGGCCGGTCCCCGGCGTCCCCTCCTGTCCCTCCTGTCCCCACCGCAGAGCCCGTGTAAGAGGCCCTTTGTGCCCGACAGCAGGGCTGGGCGCCTGGCGGGAGGGGTGCCCCCCAGGGCCCGCCCCCACCGCGATCCCCGCTCTCCGTCCTCCTGCCCCAAGCCCGGTGGTCAGGGCGGCAGCTGGGGACGTGAAGTCACCACACAGGGGCCCCGTGTCAGGACAGACACTCGTCCGGGCCCTGGGCTGAGGCGGGCGCCACGGGGAGACTGATTCCTGTGGGGCCTCCCCTGGCCCGCCCGCTCCCGGCCTCGGTCTCCGGGGGGTTAGATGAGGTCTGACCAGGCCGAGGTTTTCGAGCTCCAAGCCACAGACCCCAGCCCCGCTCCCTGCCTGGACCCCCGACCCTTTGCCTGGTCTGCCAGGTGCGGGCTCCACCGGTGTGACCTGCAGGTGACCCGGGCAGGAAGCTCTGAGGAGCAGGGGCCCCGGGCGGCCTCCAGCCCAGACTCCCCGCAAGCCCGGGCCGGGTGAGGCGCTAGGATCATCGGGTTAGATGGCGAGGAGCTGTCCCTCTGTGCCCACGGGGCTGGCCAGGGCGTGTCCCCACACCCCACGTCCTAGCTTTCGAGGCCGCGGGCCTCTGGCCTGGCGGGTGGGGCGAAGGGGGCGTGGCCACAGGCCTCGAGGGCATTGCAAACGACACAGCAGGGAGCCCCGTGTACCCGCCCGTCGCCTAGGGGTGAGCCCGTGGAGCCGCGAGCTCACAGCGTGTCTGCCGTGCCCGTCCCCACGCTGGGCTGAGGCCCTGGGGCAGGATGCACCTGCCTGTCCGGGCCCAGCTCAGAGTGTGCCCGGGGCTCCCCGGAGGTGACGGCCAGGGGACGTCCGTCCTCCCCCCCACTCCGGACACCCCCAAGGCCCTGCCTCGGGTGTGGCACTGACCCCCGGAATCTGTCCCCAGGCTCCTCCATCTGGCACCCCGCCTGCCGACAAGCAGCCAGGACGGAGGACAAGAGCAAGGTGGGTGCGTGCCCGAGGGGGGGTGTCAGGTGTAAACAGTGGGCTCTGGGGTCGGTGCAAGTAGCTCCCCTTGCCCTCTGACCTCCTCATTTGCTCGGGAGGCTGATGGCCACATACCTTGAGGACAACTTCGAAGTCGGCGAGTCCCCAAGCGGTCACCGCCATTTTGGCTCCATTCCCAGAATGGTCACCTGAAGGGCAGGCCGCGGGGTTTGATATGAGAGCAGCCCCCCCACAGCCCCCACCTCCTTCCTCCTCCTCACTGCTGCCTCCCCGGGGCCGGGCCCTGATCCCCTCACCTTACAGGGACCCTGCGCTCACCCTGGCCCCCCGTCGGTCTGCAGTCCCTGTGGCCACACGAGGCAGCAGCTGCGGGTGTGGCAGTGAGGCCCCAGCCTGTGGGGACGCTGCCTGGCCTCCCGCGGGGACAGGCCTGACCGTCACTGTCCTGCGGTCGCACACGGCGGCTCCGCCACCCTCTCCCACGGCGCCTGTGCCTCCGGCCTCACCGGAGAGCCGGGCAGCACGCCCCCCTCCCAGCCCCAGTCCATGACCCTGCCGTGACCTCCAGGCCCGACCTTTGTCCGTGGACACCTCCATCCCGGAGGCCAAGCCCGGGCCTGCCAAAGGGGGCCCCCGCGAGTGGCCTCCAGACCCCACGCGTGCATGGCGTGTGCCCGGGGAGACCCACCGGGGGTGGGAGGAGACGGAGACCACAGAGGCCACGCGGGGACAGCCAGGGTGGCCACAGCGGCTCCCGGGCCCGAGGGAGCCCAGCGCCGGCTCTGCTCCCCGCCGGAGGCCACCGTGCTGCCCGTGGCCACAGCCCCGCGGAGGAAGGCTCTGACCCGGAGGCCCTGCACCCGGAGGGACAGGAGGGAGGGACAGGGCGGGAGGGACAGGGAGGGAGGGACAGGGCGGGAGGGACAGGGAGGGAGGGACAGGGCGGGAGGGACAGGGAGGGAGGGACAGGGAGGGAGGGACAGGGCGGGAGGGACAGGGCGGGAGGGACAGGGCGGGAGGGCAGGGAGGGAGGGACAGGGCGGGAGGGGCAGGGAGGGAGGGACAGGGAGGGAGGGACAGGACGGGAGGGAAGGACAGGGCGGGAGGGAAGGACAGGGCGGGAGGGACAGGGAGGGAGGGACAGGGCGGGAGGGACAGGGCGGGAGGGACAGGGAGGGAGGGACAGGGAGGGAGGGTCAGGGAGGGAGGGTCAGGGAGGGAGGGACAGGGCGGGAGGGACAGGGAGGGACAAGGAGGGAGGGATAGGGCGGGAGGGACAGGGAGGGAGGGACAGGAGGGAGGGATAGGGCAGGAGGGACAGGGAGGGAAGGGACAGGGAGGGAGGGACAGGGCCGGAGGGACAGGGAGGGAGGGACAGGGCGGTAGGGACAGGGCGGGAGGGACAGGGAGGGAGGGACAGGGAGGGAGGGATAGGGCAGGAGGGACAGGGAGGGTGGGACAAGGAGGGAGGGACAGGGCGGGCAGGTCACGCCCGCGGCTGCACAGCAGTGGCTCCGGGCCATTCCCAAGACGCTTTGGGAACATTTGGGGGGAGGCTGCTGCCAGCGCAGCTGCCCCCTGGGTGCGGTGCCCGGGGCCGGGGGCCAGGCCCCCCCATGCCCTGCTAGTCCCCGGTTTCCCTCCCAGCCCTCAGGCCTCTGTCCCGCCCAGGAAGTGAGGGTCGTGTCCGGGCCGGGTGGCCAGGCGGAGGGGGTGTGTCAGCCGGCTTTCCCTGGGATGGGCTCCAGGGACAGTTCTCCGGCCAGCTGGCTGCTCTGGCGGGGGAGGCAGGAAGAGAGCGCCAGTTAATGACCATGGACCAGCCAGCCCTGCCAGCCCTGCCAGCCCGCGGCTCAGGGTGCGGGTGGGCTCCGGAGGGCGGCCGAGGTCATGACCTCGTGAACTGCTGAAACCGCCCGGTCAGGTGGCGCCCATGACCTGGTGATCGTAGAGGGCTTCTGCCTGCCGTGGGTGTGCCCAGCAGTCTTACCCGCTGCCCCCTGCTCCGGCCCCGGGCCCTGGGAGGCGGCTCCTTCCCGCCCTCGGAGTCAGCTGTGCCTCCGCCCGGCTGTGTGACATCGGGCGGATCACTAGCCCTCTCTGGGCCTGGGCCTCAGCTTTAACCTGGAGACCGGTGGGTGTCAGACCCCGCCCGCTGTGACCCTGTAGTCAGTGCTTCCTGGAGGAGGCTGAGTGGGGGGCAGAAAGGCGGGGAGCTGTGGGCCCTCCCGGGCGGGGACACTCCCCGGGCGCGGGGGGCGCAGGGCCACCCTGCTGCACCCAGGGCGGGTCTAGCCCAGTGCTCTATCCTTCCTGACCCCGCGGCCCTTTAGTCCAGCTCCTCCCGTGGTGGTGGCCCCGACCACAGGGTGAGGCCCGCTGGTGGGCCGCCTAGACCATCGGAAAACACGGATGTCTACGTCACCACTCATAACAGTGGCGAAATGACAGTGGTGAAGTCACCACCACACGAGGGGCTGGGTTAAAGGGCCGCGGCGTCAGGAAGGTGGGGAGCCACGGCGCTAGGGGCTTCCTGCCATGGCCAGCAGGGCCTGAGGTGAGAGGGAGGTGACCTCGGAGCGACACGGAGCCCCCGGGAGCGGCCTCGGGCTCCTCGGGGAGGAGGCGGGGGCAGAGGGTGCAGGCGTGTGAACTGTGTGCGGACATCGCCTGTGGCCAGTGACACAGGCCTCCTGGCCGCAGGGACGGCGAGAAGAACAGACCCGAGTTCCCTTCGGAGTGGCCATCGCACCTGGGGACTGGGGGGTCGGGCTGGGGACCTGGGACTGCGCTGTGGGTTCAGGCTGAGCTTAGGGGGAACCCCTGACCCCGCCGGCCCTTGGAAGCCTGTGGTCTGTGGGGACAGGCAGTCCCATGACTACGCCCCTTTCGGCAAGCAGAGCCTAGTCCAGGGGCCGGGGAAAGCAGGGCGGGCCTCCCGGAGGCAGCGGCCCCGAGCTGGGTCCCGGAGGAGCCAGGGGCGTGGAAGGGGGGTCCAGGCTGACGGGGGGTCCTGCAGAGGTGTGCGGCGAGCATCACGCCCTGTCCCCTCTCTCCCTTCCAGATGCAGAAGCAGGTTTGCCCGGGTGCCACCCCCTGTGCCTTCCAGGTTTGTGCCGGACGGCTGGCCCAGGTGTCCCGTCCTCGCTGCTGTCCGCTGTGTGTAGGGGGCGGGGCGTGCTCCGCCGGGAGGGGCGGTCCCCGGTCTGTGTGAGTTAGAGTCCCCGGCCGACAGTGCTCCAGGCGCCTCTTTCCCCCCGGAGGCCGGAGGCCGGAGATCTGGGGGTGGGCAGGGCGGCCCCCCTCCCGAGGCCCCTCCATGGCATGTACAACGGCCGTCTCCTTCCCGGGTCCTACAGGGCCGTCCCTCCCTGTGTGTCTGTGTCCTCGTCTCTTCTTTCTTAATATGCTTTACTGACTTCAGAGAGGGAGGGAGAGGGAGAGAGAAACATCGAGGATGAGAGATTCATTGACTGGCTGCCTCCTGCACGCCCCACACTGGGATCGAGCCCACAACTGGGCATGTGCCCTTGACCAGAGCCTATCCAGCTAGGGCAAGCGTGTCAAACTCAAAGGCCAAGGCGGGCCCAATAAACCAGGTGTAAGTGGATGGGGCCGCAAAAAAAAAAAGCTTACATTTTCATAGAAATGTCGGCTTATTTCCAAAGAGACAGGCTGAATTCAAAGGGCTGAGGTAAATGGGTCATTGTTAATCATCGTTAATGAGCGTTTGCCGTGGCCACACACGCCGCGGGCCACAGGTGTGACACTCTTAAGCGGGGGCTACCCCCTCCTGGCGGGGACTCCAGTCACGTGAGGTCAGGGCCCACCCTGAAGGCCCAGGAGCCCGATGGCCCTGCCTCTAAACACAGCCGCTCCGGGCCCTGCGGTGAGGACTTCGGCCTGTGCATCGGGGGACACCACTCAGCCCTAACGAGGCCCCGACAAGGCTGCTGGCACTGCAGCGGTGTGGGTGCTGAGGGGGCCGCAGAATGGGGGGAAGGGGTCTGCCTGGGAGAGGTGAGGGGAGGGGGCAGGGGGTGGGGAGAGGGGTTCGTGCTATTGGCTGGGGGGCCCTTCGCGGGGAGGGTTCCATTTAGACGGGTGAGAAGGAGGGCTAGTGGGGGGCTGGGCCAGGCGGGGCCGCAGGCCGGATGGACGCAGGTGCAGTGATCGGGCGGGAGCCGGAGGAGTGTCCACCTGGACACGGGCAGGCTGGCCGTGGGGAGCAGAGGGGACAGCGTCCGGGTGCCGTCACCTCGGGGGAAGCAGGAGCTGGGCTCGGAGAGGCAGGGGGCAGGACCGGGTTCCCACCGCAGTGGGCACTCGGGGCAGGTCCCACGAGTGGCGGAGCCCCCGGGCCAAGACGGGGGCGCAGTGTGAGCAAGGCCAGCAGTGACCTTGAGGGGCTGACTCTGAGACCTCGCTGAGGTGCGGGACCCAACGCGGCTCCTGCAGAGCCTGCCAGGCCCAGAGAGGCGAGGGGCGGAGCCAGGCGCCTGGGGAAGCTGTGGCTGGGGCTGAGACCGGTCTTTCCGTTCAGGGGACCATCCCCCCAAGTCTGACAGCAGAGCCGCTGCTGCACACGCTGCCCCCGTCCCCGTAATCTGGGCGGAAAAGTCCCTGAGCAGCCTGGTTCTGGGTCCGAGGCGGCCTTGGCCCCGGCGCTCAGAGCCTGGCCTGCTTCTGCCCCTGGAGCGGGGCCTCTCTGTGCCACGGAAGCTCGGCACTTGGCGCTGCCCACCCTGCCGGCTTGTAGCGTCACCGGTCTGTCTGAGAGTCTCCGCTGTCCGTCCAGTGCCTGTTGCTGTGAGAATCCTTCACCCTGACCGGGAGGTCACCGCCGGGAGCCGGCCTCTGTGGCCGTGACTGACGGCTGCCGCTGGACGGTCTCCGCTGACCCGTCCTGTTTTCCGTCCATCCCCCCAGGAGACCAGGACGTCCTCCGAGAGCATCATCTCCGGGCCTGCGTCCAGCACCTCGGGCTCCCCCAGCCGCGTCATCTACGTGAGTTGGGCCCTTTAGGGGGCGGGGCCGGGGCGTCCCAGGGCCGGGCGCCGGCATCGGGCTGCCACCCTGCACCGGGCTGGCTAGACCTACCTTCTGTGCATGGAGTGCCCCGGGCCCTGGACCTGTGGGGACGAGGGCGCGAGGAGGCGCTCGCAGCTGCCGTCGATGGCGGCTTGGAAGTGGCACCACCCACGCCCTGCACCGGGGCGTCCTGAACACAGTGCCGCACACGCAGGTCAGGCAGGCGTGAGCGCCCTGCACATCTGTGCGTGTCAGCATGGGCAGCGCCCCTAGCGTGTGCCTCGGGAAGCGTGTGGAGGATCACATATCATGTACCCGTTTCCCTTCAAGAGGATGTGTGTATGTGTGTGTGTATGTATTCGTGTATGTGTGTGTAATAGTGTATGTGTGTATTAGTGTATGTGTGTATGTGTGTGTGTGCGTATTAGTATATGTGTGTGTATGTATGTGTGTGTATTAGTGTATGTGTGTTAGTGTATGTGTGTGTAATAGTGTATGTGTGTATTAGTGCATGTGTGTTAGTGTATGTGTGTATTAGTGTATGTGTGTATGTGTGTATTAGTGTGTATGTATGTGTGTTAGTGTGTGTGTATTGGTGTATGTGTGTGTATTAGTGTGTATGTGTGTATTAGTGTATGTGTGTATGTGTGTATGTGTGTATGTGTGTGTATTAGTGTATATATTAGTGTATGTGTGTATGTGTGTGTGTAATAGTGTATGTGTGTGTATTCGTGTATGTGTGTATTAGTGCATGTGTGTTAGTGTATGTGTGTATGTGTGTATGTGTGTATTGGTGTGTGTATGTGTGTGTATTAGTGTATATGTGTGTATGTGTTTGTAAGTGTACATGTGTGGGTGCATTGGTATTTATTTTTATTTTTATTTTTTATTTTATTATTTTTTTTAATGTGTTATGGAAAAAATTTCCCAGTTTTATTAGGATAAAATTGACATACTTTATATCAGTTTAAAGTATAAAACATAATAATTTGACATATATTGGAAAATGATCACCACAATAAATTTAATTAACATCCACCACCTCACATAGTTACAGTTTTTCCCCCATTATGACAACTTTTATTATAATATATATTCTCAGTGATTTTCAAATATCCTCTTAGTAACTTCCAAATTTTTAATGCTAAATTGTTAACTATAGTCATCATATTATACATTATATCCCCAGAACTTATTATCTTATAGCTGGAAGTTTATACCTTTTAACCTCCTTCACCCTCTGCCACGCCCCCACCTCCAGCAACCACCCATCTGTTCTCGGTTTCTGTGAGTTCAGTTTTGTTTTTTTGTTTTTTGTTTTTTTTGTACTTCAGTTTTTCTTTTTCTTTTTTTTTTAAATAAATCTTTATTGTTCAGATTATTACAAATGTGATCCTCTTCCCCCCCCCTCAATTTCTCCCCTTCACCAGGTTCCCACCCCACCCTCTGTCCTTTCCCCATCCCCCATTGTCCTCATCCACAGGTGCACAGTTTTTGTTCAGTCTCTTCCCGCACCCCCACTCCCCTTTTCCCTGAGAATCGTCAGTCCACTCCCCTTCCATACCTCTGATTCTATTATATTCACCAGTTAATATTGTTCATCAGATTTTTAAATTCCCTTGGTTTTTAGATTCACTTGTTGATAGCTACGTATTTGTTGATCATAATTTTTATCTTTATCTTCTTCCTCTTCCTAAAATAATTTTATTGGTTTCAGAGAGGAAGGGAGAGAGGGAAAGAGTTATAAACAGCAACGAGAATCATTGATTGGCTGCCTTCTGCACGCCCCACCCTGGGGATCGAGTCGCGCCTGGGCCTTGCCCTCGACTAGAATGGAACCCGGGACCCTTCAGTCCACAGGCTAACGCTCTATCCACTGAGCCACACCAGCGAGGGCATGCATTCGTGTTTGTAACACTTGCTTGTCTGCACGTATGGCTGTCTGAATGTATGTACATGAATGCATATGTGTTCTGACATGTGTCTGTATTTTTAGACACACACTGAGCATCGCTGTCTGCCCATGTCGACCCGAAGCCATCCCATGGGGCCGCCTCCACCCTCTGTGGAGGCGTGGGCTCCGTCCGGAAGGCGGCCCTTTGTGGCCCCTGTGACCGTGAGGCCTCCCGGGCCCTTAGGCTGCTCGGCCCTCTCGGGTTCGGGGCGCGGGCTCGGCTCCTCCGCACACTGCCTCAGCTCGGCCTGACGGTCCGCCCTTCCCCCCCAGGCCAGGCTGGGGGACGAGATCCTGGACTACAGAGACCTGGCTGCCCTGCCCAAGAGCAAGGCCATCTACAACATCGACCGGCCCGACATGATCTCCTACTCGCCCTACGTCAGCCACGCGGGGGACCGGCCCAGCGGCCTCGAGGTACGGCCGCGGGGGGGCTCCTCACTGTCAGGCCCCTCACTGTCCGGCCCCTCACTGTCCGGCCCCTCACTGTCCCGCCCTTCACTGTCCGGCCCCTCACTGTCCTGGCCCCTCACTGTCCGGCCCCTCACTGTCCGGCCCCTCACTGTCCTGTCCCCTCACTGTCCGGCCCCTCACTGTCCCGCCCCTCACTGTCCTGGCCCCTCACTGTCCGGCCCCTCACTGTCCCGCCCCTCACTGTCCGGCCCCTCACTGTCCGGCCCCTCACTGTCCCACCCTTCACTGTCCGGCCCCTCACTGTCCGGCCCCTCACTGTCCTGTCCCCTCACTGTCCGGCCCCTCACTGTCCGGCCCCTCACTGTCCCGGCCCCTCACTGTCCGGCCCCTCACTGTCCGGCCTCTCACTGTCCCGCCCTTCACTGTCCGGCCCCTCACTGTCCCGGCCCCTCACTGTCCCTCCCCTCACTGTCCGGCCCCTCACTGTCCGGCCCCTCACTGTCCCTCCCCTCACTGTCCGGCCCCTCACTGTCCCGCCCCTCACTGTCCGGCCCCTCACTGTCCAGCCCCTCACTGTCCGGCCCCTCACTGTCCAGCCCCTCACTGTCCGGCCCCTCACTGTCCCTCCCCTCACTGTCCGGCCCCTCACTGTCCCTCCCCTCACTGTTCGGCCCCTCACTGTCCCAGCCCCTCACTGTCCGGCCCCTCACTGTCCCTCCCCTCACTGTTCGGCCCCTCACTGTCCCAGCCCCTCACTGTCATCGCTGCTCTGCGCCATGGGCGTCCTCTGAGGAGTCCCCCCTGGGCTCTGCCCGGACGCCCCTGGCAGACGCACGCAGCCCCTGGGGCTGAGCCGGGGAAGCCCTGTGTGGCCAGGAGCAGGCAGGGCCGGTGTCAGGAAATGATGGAAACGGAGTCGCACCTGCTTCTTGAGTTCAGGTCGATTTTCACGACGTGTGATATGTCGTTTTCCTCCAGCCTCTCCCCATCCCCAGCCGGCCCGCCCCGTCCCCGTGTCCCTGGCACTGCTGCCACCGAGGACTTACTCCGTGGGTCCGTGGGCAGCCTCAGCCGTCCTCGGCTTACTGCGGGCGCCTTGGGTGCCCACTTCCTTGGGGGGCTTTGAGACTCCCCGATGGCCAACAAGGGTGGCTGCCTGCCAGCAGCCCGGTCTGTGTGCCAGGCGACTGGGCGGCCTGGGGGCAGAGCCCCTCCCTCCACAGTCGCCAGCAGGGCTGCCTGGGAGGGGCTGGGGCGGGCGCCACGTTGAGGTGATGGTTGGCGCCAGCCCGCAGCCCTGCTGAGTGTGCAGGCACAGTGGCTGGGCACAGCGGCAGCTCAGGGCGGGGCAGGGGGAGGTAAGGCCAGCAGGGCCCCTCCTCCCTGGCTCTGTCTCTGAGGACCTGCAGGGCCTGAGTGTCAGTCCCAGGAAGAGGCCGGTGGTCAGGGCGGCGGGGCAGGTCTGACCGGGTCTGACCGGCTCCCTCCTCCATGGCCTGAGCCAGCCTGGCAGGCAGGCCTCCTCTTTCCTGAGTGGTCAGCTCTGCTGGAGGCACTGGGGGAGGGTCGGGAGGCCAAGCCACTTGGCCACCACCCCCTGGAGCCAACATCTGTGGGCGGACAGTGCACCCTACGCTAATGGGGGGGGGGGTCCCCTGGCTGGGAGGCTGCCTGCTCCCAAGGCCCCCGCCAGCAGGGCAGGCCTCCCCGAACCCTGTACCCCAAGCCCCAAGCCCCAAACCCGCGCCCTGGGCCCCAGAGGAGCTCTCCTCCTCGGACTCCAGGGCACCGCCTCCCCACGCCCCAAACCAAGTCCTTCTTTGGGAAAGCTTCTCGGGGAGCAGGGGGCGCTCCCCGCCTCTTTCTCGGGGTGCCATTCCCTGACCGCATTTCTCCAGAAAGAAGGTCTGGGGGCCGGGGTGTGAGTCTGCCCGTGTCCCCACGAGCTGCGCGACCGCGGGCTCACGGGCTGCTCTGCGTTGTGTCCACAGTCGCCCCCGTTGCTCTCGCCACCGCCGACCGAGGTAACCGCGCCCCCACGCGTGCTCGTGTGCTCCCGCTCATAAACATAGCCGCCTGCCGCCCCGAGGGCTGGGGGCCCCCTCGGCGCTGGTTATCTTTATGACCGCGCCACCTGCATGCCGCCCTGGCGCTCCCGCGGCCCTGCAGGTGTGGACGCCCAGGGCCCGGCCTGGTCTGGGCCACGGCTCCTCAGAGGCACTCGGGGCACCGGGCACGGGCCCAGCGCCTGCGCCTCCGCGGGGGTCATCCCGGAAGTCCTTGCAGCGGAATGTTCTGGAGGCATTTCTCTGCTGGTCTCGGGCAGCCTGCTCTTCCTGTGTCCCAGGGTTAATGAGAACAGAGCGGGAGCGGCCAGCCGGGCTCCAGGCTGTGTGGGCCTCGGACCCTGGGACCCTGGGACCCAGGAGCAGCGGAGGCGAGGACAGGACGCCTGAGGGTGTGACCGGCCCTGGGGCCGGCAGAGGACGCCGAGTCGGAGATGGAGCGCGGGACTGGCTGCCCAGCGCGCGCCATCTCCAGGGCGGGGGCGGGCGGGAGGGCTTGGGGTGCAGCACCTGTAGGAGGCCTGGCTGAGCTGGGGTGCCGGGGGGCGGGTAACAGGGCAAGCTTCAGGGACAATGGCTCATGCGTGGGCTGGAGAACGAGCCCCGGGGGGGGGTAAGCCTGGGGAGGGTGGGCCCGAGTGCTAGGCCCAGACTCTCACCTTGCTCGTCCCCCCACTGGCCTCGGGGGCCAGAACAGCTGCATCCGGGGCGGCCAGACACCGGGCCGGCGTGTCAGGGCTCAGGGCCACCCCGTGCTGAGCCGCAGGGCCCGCAGCCTGCTCTCCCCGCGTGCCACGCCATCTCACGCCGCCTGCCGCCCACTCTGACGCTCCGAGCAGCTGCTCATCCTGCTTAATCGGAGCCCGCATGGTCCGTGCTTATGGGTCTGGCTCAGCGGGGCCCACGCCTGGACCCTCCTGGGCCTGGGGAGAGCACAGAACCTCAGTGGTTCTCAAACCGTGTTCTGAGGAGCCTTGGGTGCTGGGAAGGACTGCAGGAGGGGAGCTGAAGGGTGTGGGAGGACTGGGTGCCTGCAGCTCCATTATGGGCGCCTCAGCCCCATGGGGCTGGTGGAGGGGTGACCCCTGCCCTCTGACATGGGCGGGGTGCACGGGCACCTTGCTCAGCCTGCAGGAGTTAGTTCAGCACCACGGCCAGCTCCCCGCCTCCCCGTCTGTGCCCACAGGTGCAGGGAATGCACGCCCGCCCGCTGAGCGGCACAGAGGTCAGGAAGGCAGCCGCTGAGCGGAGGGCGGGCCGTGCCTGCCCGTGCTCACCGTGTCTCTCCCACAGGGAGACCAGGACGACCGCTCCTCCCGGCAGTGCCGCACCTCCAGCCCCAGCTCCGCCGGGTCCGTCAGCCTCGGGCGCTACACCCCGACCTCGCGGTCGCCCCAGCACTACAGCCGGCCAGGTACTGGGCCCACGCTCTGCGGCCCTCCGGGAAGCGGGCTCTCTGGTTGCTTTTCCTGCTAAATCAGTCTCTTACCTACTCAGGCCGGTGTGGCTGCCGGTGGGCGATGGGGAACCCGCCCATTAGGGGGACCCCTCGTGTCCGGGCGGGAGGGTGCCAGAGGGCAGCTGTCTGGCTGTGGGCAGAGGGGCTGTGCCACGGAGCTCACGGGCACATCTGGGCACGAGGGCCCTCGCTCTCGGAACTCAGATCTCTGCAGAGCAGACGCCAGGAGACAGAGTCGCCCAGACGGGAGGAGCCGTCAGTTCCCAGCTCCCGGGGTCTGGGAGGGGGAAGGAGAGTCAGAGCCCAGGAAATAGTCAGGTCCCGTGGGCTCGTCACCCGCAGCTGGTGTGGCCCCAGGACAGGAAATGGGCAGGAGGCCGCCACCGCCCGCTCAGAGCAGGGGCAGCCGAGGAGGCCCTCTACCCGCCCGCCCCATCCCTGCTTGGTGCCCACTGTGGACGACGACCCTGAGCCTCCAGCGCCTCAGAGCGTCAAAGTCCCGGGGACACGCCACGCACAAAAGGGCGCTGCCTTTTTGCGGGATTTTTCCACACTGCTTCCTCCTCGGCCCCGCGCATGGCGCCATTTCACACCATCGACAAAGTGCTAAGCCTCGCAGCCTCTGTGGAAAAATCAGTCACTCATTGGCCCAGCTCTCCCATTGCCCCTGCAGTGCAGCTGGTGCATCTGCTCAGGAACAGGTGTTTGGATGACTGAGTGAGAGAGTGAGTGAGCGAGTGAGTGAGTGAGTGAAGGAGTTAGTGAGTGAGTGATAGAATGAGTGAGTGATGGAATGAATGAGTGAGTGAGTGAGTGAGTGAATGAGGGAATAAGGGAATGAGTGAATGGGTAAGTGAATGAATGATGGAATGAATGAATGAATGCCTGAGTGAGGCAGTGAATGAAAGAATGAATGAGTGATGGAATGAATGAGGGAGGGAGGGAATGAATGAGTGGGTAAGTGAATAAGTGAAGGAATGAATGAATGAATGAATGAATGAATGCCGGAGTGAGGCAGTGAATGAAAGAATGAATGAGTGGGGGGATGACTAAGGAGGAAGTGAATCAGTGAGTTGAGAGTGATAGAGCGGGTAAGCAAGTGAGTCCGGGAGTGAAGGGCCCTCTGCTGACCCTGACCCCTGTATTGGGGTCACCTGGGCTGTGGACTGTCCCCAGCCAGTGGCAACCCCAGAGCCAAGACCTGGGTCTGGGCTGGCGATGCCTGTGGCTGCCGGGGGACAGTCTGGGCACACCCAGCCTAGCCAGCGGCCCTCCACCTGCTGCTTGATCCCAAGGAGCCCCCAGGAGGGGAGCGGGCCGGGCACAGGGGGCAGTGGCTCCTGTGCCCAGAGGGCCCGGAGCGGACGTGCAGGGCACCGCGGGGACGCCCTCTCCGAGGTCTGCGTCCTTGGCGAGGAAGCAGGTGCTGCCTCCTGGCGGACTCTGACTTGCTCTCTGTTGCCCGCAGCTGGTACTGTGAGTGTTGGTACCAGTAGCTGCCTGTCCCTGTCCCAACACCCAAGCCCTACGTCCGTGTTCAGGCACCATTACGTCCCCTACTTCCGAGGTAAGGCGCGCAGGGCTGCGGCTGCGTGTGCCACACGTGTGTGTCGTGTCCGTGTCGCCGCATGGCTTCCCGAGCCCCGTGTCTCATGCCTGTGCTCCTCGCTGTGTCTCGTGAGTCCAGCTCCGTTGCCGTCCGTGTGTGAATGTTCCCGGGGCGGGGGACATGCAGGCAGCTTGTGGCAGGAAGGGGGTGAGGAGAGGGGTGGAGGGTGCAGGCAGAGGTTAGGCCTCTTCCTCGCCTGCCCTGGGACCTACATCATCTCATTCTGCTCCCCACCTGTCACTCCCCGGGCGCAGGGATGCCAGCGGCAGGTACCAGGCGCAGGGGCTGAGGCTGAAGGGGGCAGGGCCACGTCCACAGGCAGAGCACAGCGTCTGTGGGGGGCGGGGGCGGCTCACACCCTGCATGGCTCCCAGGGCCAGACCCCGCACGGAAGCGTGTGTCCATCCCTCTAGGAACATGGCTGAGCTCGTCTCCCACACGCTGTGGGCTGAATTGTGTCCCCCAGAATCCATATGGTGAAGCCCCCCCACCACCATGTGACCGGCTTCAGGGAAGCGGCTTTAGGAGGTTATTAGTGCCGAATGAGGGCGTACAGGTGGGGCCCCATGCGGGATGGGTGGTGTTGGAGGCAGAGCGGAGACCACAGATCTCTCCGCCACGCCGCCTGCACTCAGAGGACCGGCCACGTGGAGACAGGGCTGTTGACAAGCCGGGAGGGCAGCTCTCACCAGAAACCACGCCTGCCGCTGCCCTCCAGCCTCCGGACCTGGGCAGAGGAGATGTCTGTTATCTAAGCCCTCAGTCCAGGTGTTTGCTACGCAGCCCTCGCTGACTAGTACGCCACAGACTCGGCAGGAGCAGGAGCAGCGTGCTGTGCTGCCCTCTGGCCCCGGGGCACAGGAGGGGGCAGGCCCTGCTGGTTACGCTGCCCCCGATGGCCACCACACAGGCTCCTGGCTTCCCTTAGATCACATGTGTCAAACACAAGGCCCGCGGGCCAAATCCGTCCCGCCAGGCCTTGCAATGTGGCCCGCACCGCGCTGTCATCACTGCACTCCGCTGCGTTTCCATCACAATGACAGTTTATGACTGTTCAGTAAACCATTCGGCCCGCAATTTAGGCTGGATTTTAGATTTTGGCCCCTTCTCTGATTGAGTTCGACACCCCTACCTTAGATTGTCACCCTCCGTGGCTTCTCGTGGTCTCTCAGGTGGGCTGAGGAGAGGCCCCTGGTCCCGAGGACCACCTCTTGGAGCGCCCGTCCTGCCGCCGCGGTCCCTGCTGAACCCACTGACTGTCCTGAAAAGCAGCCAAGCCAGAAACAGTGCATTTTGTGACGGGTCCCTCGGGGCACAGGGTGGCTGGGCAAAGAGAGGACCCATCCGGTGGAGAAACCTGCACCACCACGACCTCAGCCAGGGGACCCGGGTCCACATCACGTGACGGGTCATGTGACAACAGGTGCCCTGGACACGACAGGGTGAAAGGGCGCCTCTGTGGCCTTCTCCCAAGCACCATGGCCTCGTCTGGTCTGAGGAGACATCGGGGAGTCCCCGCTGCCAGCCTTTGGCAGAGCACTGAGCCACACAGAGCCGAGGTGACGGACAAGGAGAATCTGAGAAAGGCCGCGGCTGAGGCCCAGGAGAGGGACGGCTGGACAGGACGTGTGTCCGGGCATCCTGGGAGGAAAGTTCTTCCGATAAAAACGGGGGAAACGCCGAACCGCGGCGTTTACAGAGCACCACGGCCGCGATGCCTGGCAAGTGCCCGTCCCTGAAGTGAAAGAGGTGACTTTTCAAAGGCCGGGCTCCCGTCGCCAGAAGCACCGCCCCCCATCCTCCTCCAGACCCTGTCCGGCGTCTTCTCTTTCTCGCTGAGGGACGAGCCTCCCGGCAGATGTCCGAAGCCGCCTGGGGCCTGAGCCCCTCCCTCGGGAGCCGTGAGCCTGGCCAGAGGGACCTGTGCCTTTTCCTCGGTTCTCGCCGCCCACGGGGACGTCAGCTGGGATTTCACCGCCAAAGCCCGGAGGAGGCTGGTCCCGGGCGGGAACCAGGGCCTCCCCAGGCCCCTCCGCCTGTCCCTCCCGCGGAGGCGGCCGCGGGAGTGCGCGCCCTGCAGGCTGTCATGGACATTCTGGCAGCTGACATGCCCAGCGCTGCACGTGGCCTCGCGGGGCCGAGGCTGGCACACGATTTGTTACCGCGGACTCACCGTGAGCGGGCGGCGAAGGAAGCCGGGCCCCTGAGCCCGCCCAGGAAGCGTGAGGACACGTGGGGAGGATTGGGAAGGGGGTTCCAGGCGGGCACGAGGGGGAGGCGAGGGGCGGCCAGGAGGAAAGGATGTGAGCAGAGAGGTGTCTGGGGCTGGGACTGAGGTCTCGGGCGGTGGCTGGTGTGGAAGCCCCTGATGGCGGAGGAGGAGGGTGGAGGTGAGGAGGGCGGGGTGGGCCAGGGCCGCCACGGCTGTGTCCCCGCTGCCCCTGGGTCTGGGCCTCTGAACGCCGGGTGAGGCTGGGGGCTCCTCAGAGAACTGTCCGCACACAGTCCTGCCGGTCCCGCGGCTGGGCGCCGGGCACGGAGACCCGGGCCTGTGGGGCTGTGGCGGGGCGGGATGGGTTCCGGGAGGGACCAAGCCCTGAGAGGCCTCTGGCTCCGGGGATGGTGCCGGGGGAGCCGCGCTCACGGTTCTGGCCTCCGAGCCGGTGGGCTGGTACCGCTGAGTCACAGCCACACGTGGAGGGAGGCCTGGGAGCCTTGCTCCCTGGGGCGGTGCGCAGGCAGGGAGCTCGGGGCGGCGCCACACGGCGCTGGGTGCGGCCGCCGGGGAAAGGCCGGCTCCCACCAGGAGGGGCTGGACAGCTGTCTCCCTGATGCCCCGTCAGTGCCAACAGGTGCCATCAGCCCAGGCACAGGGCGATGCTGGGAGTGACCAGCGGCGGTGGAGGCCCTGGGTGTGGCTCCTGGAGCCGAACTCCACCCACCCTGTGAGCCCCGGGCCCCGCACACCCACCCAGGGAGAGCTCTCAGGCCGGCGCCCCTGGCAGCCAGCATGCGTCCCCGCGGCCACTCCCGGCCCGCACAGCCTGCCCGCTGTCTAACCGGCCTCCTCTCCTCGCCCCGCCCTGTGCGGGAGCAGCTGCAGCTCCACGGGTGCTCGGTGGCCAGTGGCCTGCCCTGGCCCAGCTCCCATCGAGGGCCGCGGGGCTCCCCGAGGCCCCCGGAGGGGAGGGCCCGCCTCACTGGTCCTCCAGGTCCACGCCGTTCCGTCTGCCTCTCACGCCGTTTCGTAACCACGGGGGGGGGCTCCCCTGGGGACAGGCCGTCCACTCTGCGACTTGATAATCCAACCTCGTTGGCCAGCAGCAGGGGGACCCCCAGGCGGCGGGAGGAGTGGGAGCTGGACTCGGGGTGCTTTCCCTTTGTTTGCCACGCACTGGCCTCAGGAGCGGGCGGTGGCCGTGAACTCCCACGCGGCTTTGCGGACAGGCGGTGATGAGGCGCGCTGGGTCCCGTGGGGATGCCAACGTGGCCTCTCCAAAGAGGGCAGCTAGACAGGGGCCTTGCCAGTTCAGATGCCAGCGCGCAGAGCCACAGACCGCGTGCTCCCCAAGGAGGCCGCCGGGCCCCCCACCCCCACCCCCAAGGGGAGCGGGCTCTGCCCAGGCGCCAGGCCCACCCTCACGGGCACCAGGAGCCCTGGCTCCCAGCCCTCGGAGCCGCTGTGCCTTCGCCACGGGGCCCGGGCAGGGTGGGCGCGAGGTTGGATTAACAAGTCGGCGGGGGCGGGGGGCCACAGGCAGGGGCACGGGGTCACCGAGTAAGCTTTCTCGCTTGAAATCCTCTGCTCTGCTCACCCCTCCCCTGCTCTCCGCTGTCTGCACTTCGGCCTGGAGGCAGCGAAAGCGGCCGGAGCACCCCCAGCCTCTCGGTGCTGTCCGACGGCAGGCCGCCCGCCACCTACCAGCAGGCGCCGCGCCACTTCCACGTGCCAGGTAGGCCCCCCGCGGCCCCCCGCGCCCAGCGGGGCGGCACTCCTCTTGGTGCCCCCACCCCCGCCCTAGATGCTTAAAGAATCACAAATGGGTGTGCACATCCCCACTTCCTGTCTCCTAAGGCCCACAGACACCAGGGAGATACTGCCCCCGGGAGTGGACTGGAGGGAAGGCTGCCTGGGCAGCGGGGTGCCCTCTGTGTCCCACTGGGGCTGGCACCGGGCTGGCTGAGGCGGTGGGGCCTGGGTGTCCGCCGAGGGTGGGTCCCGGATCTTTCTGGAGACCCCGAATCCGGGCGCCTAGGGATTGCTGACCAGCCATCCGTTTGCTTGCTGACCCTGCTTTCTCTTCTTTCTCCCTTTTTCCCTTCTTTCTTTCCTTCCTTCCTTCCTTCCTTCCTTCCTTCCTTCCTTCCTTCCTTCCTTCCTCCCTTCCTTCCTCCCTCACTCCTTCCTTCGCCCAGACACCGGCGTCAAAGATAACATCTACCGGAAGCCCCCCATCTACAAGCAGCATGGTACCGTGCCTCCTGCTCCGTGGCCCCGCATGCCCGCCCCACGCTCTGGGTCCCTGCTCGGTTGTGTGGATGCCTGATGACCACCCCCCCCCCCAGCAGAGACCCTGCGGCCTGAATAGTAAATGCACATGTGCTGCAGGCCCAGGGCACGGCCTCTGCATGACCCGGACACCCTGTGTGGCAGAGACCCGAGGCTGCCGCTCTCGGCCAGGCTGGGTGGGGGTGAGGGGTTGGGGGGCGTTGTGCCAAGAACTGGCCCCGGTGGCTGGAGTTGGCTGCTTGGAGGGAAGCAGCCAGGCTGACCGCGGCCGAGGGGGTGAGGGGCAGGTGTCCCGGGCCGCAGTCCGAGCCAACCCGTCGGCGGGAAACAGGAAAACCGAGCTGGTCAGTCCTCCCCGCGCGGTGAGAATCGCTGGCCAGAGAATGGACGCCGGGCCTCGCGAGCGGGGCTTCCTGCCTCAGCAGACAGGGGCTGCGGTGCTCATGGAGAGAGGGTCTCCGGCCCCAGCCTCTCCCACGGCAGCTCCCGCTGCTCCACCGGAGCCTGCGGCCGGTGCACAGCGCAGCCGCCGGGCCAGGGCAGGGAGGCGGGGGGCCGGAGGCTCACGGGGTCCCCTCCGTCTGCACGGAACTTCCGGGTGATTTGGGGCCTCACACCGTGAGCCTGTCCTCATCTGCAAGTGGAAGGGGCCCCCAGCCCGCCCTCCATGGGCCGAGGAGAGGACCGGTGCTGTGCAGGCGGGAAACACGTCCTGAACCCTGAGGTGCTGGGTGGAGGTGGGTGTTACCACTTTGCTAGGGAGACGGGCAGAGGAATGCCCACACCGGAGGTCCTTGCTCGGACGCAGACAGCAAACAGCCATGTCCACACGGACACCTGGCTGGGCCCTCCCGGGGGGTGGCACCCGTGTGCCCGGTGGCTTGCTGGCAGTCAGGCCCGGGTGCAGACTCGGGCGGCGCCTGGTACGGGTGAGCCTCTGCCTCTTCCCGAGCAGGAAGTCAGGAGTGACAGCCTGGTTTCCAAGGCGATGACCTTTCCCGCTGCCTCCCCACCGGGGCGCTCAGAGCCCAGGTCTCCCCGAGGGTCAGGCGGGGACACGGAGGCCGGGCTGAAGGAAGCGCGTCCCTCCGTCATGCCCCCGAGGTCCCGTCCTGCATGCAGGTGGCGCTCACCTGCCCATGTCGGCCTCAGAGGCGGCCTGTGCGCAGGAGGAGGGGAGAGGCGGTCAGTGTGGCCACCACGTGGCTGTGGAGGGTGGCCCGGCCAGACCTCAGACAGAGCTGCCACGGCAGGGTCGGAGGGCGGTCAGCAGGACCTTCTGGGGTCACTGTTCCCCCGGAAATAAATGCCCCTCGGTCCGATGGCCAGTGCGCTCCAATGTGACCTGGTTCCTCGGCACGTCCCAGAATCGGGGCCTGTTGGCGCTTCCGTGAACTGATCAGCGTACAGCGCCTTCTCAGACGCACACGGGCCATCATGGGGTTGCTGCAGACTGACCTCACCGGCGAGCCCGGCTGAGCCCGTGTCCGGGGGGGCGGGGAGGGGAGGGGCAGTGGCCCGCCGTGGAGCGCCAACCGTGGCAGGTGTGTGACTGAGACACGGCTTCCCCACCCGCCGGCATGCGCCCTGCCCAGGTGTGTGTGTGAGCATGCAAGCATGCGTGTGACACCATGCATGTGGCATGGAACACACACAAACACACACACACACACACACACACCGTCTCAGCAAACAGACCAGCCAGCGCCTCTAGGGGGCAGAGGAGCACGCTGCGGGCGGGCGGAGCCGCCGAGCTCCTGAGACATCCGCGGGGACCACGTGTGGCGGCTGTTTAGTTTGTCCGACGTGGTCTTCCCTGCGAGCTCGAGGCTCAGCTTTCCATCGACGCCCTTGTGCTTCCGCCTCCACTGCCCACTCACGCAGAGCCCTCCTCAGCTCAGCACTGTCTCTGGGGCTCCAGCCCTCCTCCGGCGCCGTTGGCCAGGCCCCTCGGCGGGGGGCGGAGGTGGGGACAGAGGACCAGCGCCCCAGGCCGCCCCTGGGAGCGTCAGGGCTCGTTTCCTCCTGACACGGCGGTCGGGTGTGAAGTGACCGGTCCGTGGCCACGCTGAGGTCCACACCCAGGCTGCCTGCCCCCTGACCTCTGACCCCCGGCCCGCTGGGCCGCCTTGGACGGCAGGGAGGCCCCTTAGTGTTTTCTTGTGCCGCAGCAGCTCCCACTCTGCGTGGCTACGAGGGAACGGCTTTTTTAAAGTGAAAGAATAAGGAAGCGAAGAGAGGAGGCAAAAGGGAACAAATGGGGCATTTTAAACGGGGGACCCCGTCCCCTGTGCGGGCAACAGCGGATCAGCAGGAGTGCGGGCTGTGGGACAGGCTGGCGGCAGCACAGCCAGGCCTCCCAGCGGGCACAGGCCGCCCAGAGCCCAGAGCCCAGAGCCCAGAGCTCAGAGCTGAGGCGCACGGGGCATTCTGAAGGGCCTTAGTGCCAGCCCCTGGCAGAGCACAGCCCGTCGCCGGCCCACCCCCTCAGAGGCCTCCTCCCTCGCTTTCCAGCCCGCGCAGGTTTAAGTGCAGCTGCGTGAACCTGAGCAAAGAGCAGGGCTACTTCACCCCCTGCCCCCGGCGGTGAGGACCGGCGTGCAGGGGCACAGGCACCCGGAGCTCCTGCCCAGCCCCTCCACCTCGCTGGAGCCTCCGCCCTTCAGAAGCCCCCACTGGGGCCTCGTCTTTGATATTTTCCATTTTTAAAAATATATCTTTATTGATCTCAGAGAAGAAGGGAGAGGGAGAGAGAAACATCAGTGAGAGAGAATCATGGATCGGCTGCCTCCTGCACTGGGGATCGAGCCCACAGCCTGGGCCTGGGCCCTGACCGGGAATCGAACCGGGACCTCCTGGTTCCTAGGTCAATGCTCAACCCCTGGGCCCCGCTGGCAGCATGACTGTTCCCAGTGTTTGAGCCTAACTGGGCGTGGGTCCCGGGATAGGCGGCGTGCTCCTGACGGTGGCTTTCCTTCCAGCCTCGAGGCGCCTGGACGGGGAGGACGGCGGTTCCGACCAGGACGGCAGGAAGGTAAGGCGGCCACTGGTCCCAGCGGCTTGAGCAGGGGAGATCGGGCCTGGGGGCACGTCCACCTGCAGCCTCCGTCCTCCTCCTCCATGCTCCTGGGAGGTCCCTCGCGGCCCATGAAACAGGCACCGAATGCAAGAGCAGAGGGGAGGGCATCCTCCTGCAGCCTCCTCTGACCTCGGGACCCGCCCGGCCCTCCCGGTCCCTCCTGTGCCCACCGGCCCACTCTCGGCTCAGTGACTGGCCGGTGTCTGAAAGGAGAGGAGAGAGCCGCAGGGCGCTCTTGGGCACC